CCTTAAAAACTCAGTGCAACAGAAGGCAAATGAAAAAAAAGAACAAGAGACAAAGAACAGATGGGAAATATAGACAACAAATTGTAAGATGATAGATTTAGACCCAACAATGGCACAAAACACATTAAATGAAGATGGTTTAAAGACTCCCAATTAAAAGGAAGGGACTGTCAGACTGGATTTAAAAGAAATGCAACACCTACCTACATGCTGCCTATAAGAAACATACTGTAAACATAAAGACACAAATAAGTTAAAAACCAAAGGACAGAAAAAGATATACCATCCTGGGCGCCTGGGTGGCTCAGTTGGTTAAGCAACTGCCTTCGGCTCAGGTCATGATCCTGGAGTCCTGGGATTGAGTCCCACATCCGGCTCCCTGCTCAGCGAGGAGTCTGCTTCTCCCTCTGACCCTCCCCCCTCTCATGTGCTCTCTCTTTCTCTCTCTCATTCTTGCTCTCTCAAATAAATAAATAAAATCTTAAAAAAAAAAAAAGAAAAAGATATACCATCCTAACACTAGTCAAAGGAAAACTGGACTGCCTTTTTTTTTTTTTTAAGATTTTATTTATTTATTTGAGAGAGAGAGAGAATGAGAGATAGCATGAGAGGGAAGATGGTCAGAGGGAGAAGCAGACTCCCCACTGCCTTTATTAATATCAAAGTACTGTTCACAGCAGAGAAGATTACCGAGGATGAAGACAGCCCCTGAAGAATTCATTTCATCAATAAGACCTAATAATCTTAAACACTTATGTACCTAATAACAGAGATCCACAATACATGAAGCAAAAACTGGTAAACCTGAAAAGATGAATAAATAAATCCACAAGAGATTTTCAGATACCCCTTTCAATAGAGATATTTCAATACCCCTTTCTCAATAACTGATAGAGTAAGTAGACAGAAGGAAGGACATGGAAGACTTGGATAACACTACCAATAAGCTCGAGCAAAGCAGAGTAGGAAACTACACCCAACAAAGCAGAAGACACATTCTTTCCAGTGCACACAGGGCATTTACCAACAGAGACTATGTTCTGGGCCAAAAAATAAGTCTCAATAAATTTAAAATGATTGAAATTATATACAGTATGGTCTCTGACCACAAATAGGAACTAAAAACCCGTAACTAGAAAATCCCCAAATATTTGGAAACTAAGTAATACATTTCTAAATGACCAAAAAATGAGTCCAAAAAGAAAGCAAAAGGGAAGTTAGAAAGTATTTTGAACTGAATGTAAATGAGAACACAACATATCGCATTGTGGGATACCACTAAACCAGTGCTTAGAGGGAAATTTATAAGAGATGAGAGTGAGTTAAAGCTAAAGTAATCAGAAGAAAGAATATAATAAATCAATGAGACAAAACACGGAAAATCAATGAAAACAACTCAAAAGCCGGTTATTGTTGTTTTTAAATTAAAAACTCACTAAAATTGATATGCCTCTATACAGACTGACCAGAAAAAAAAAGTCACAAATCACCAATGTCAGGAACTAAAGAGGTGGCATAACTACTGATCTTACAGCTATTAAAAGTATATTATGAACATCTTCATGCCAATAAAATTGACTACTTTGATGAAATGGACGAATTCTCTGAAGGACATACACTACCCCAAAGATCACTCAAGAATAAGCAGAAAACTTAAATAGCTCTATATCTATTAAAGAAATTGAATCTGTAAATTTGAAACCCTTCTGCAAAGAAAATTTTAAGCCCAGACATTTCTACTGGTGTATTCTATCAAATATTTAAGGGAAAAATAACACCAAATCTATACAAACTTTTTCAAGAAAGAGAAAAGGAAGGTATACTTCCCAAATCATTCTATGAGGCCATCATTACCCCGATACCAAAACCAAAAATATTTATCACAAGAAAAGAAAATTACAGTCCAACACCCCTCATGAACATCAAGGCAAAAAATTATTTTAAAATGTTAGCAAACAGAATTCAGCAAGATATAAAAAGGATAGATAATACACATCACAACCAAGTATGGTTTGTCCCAGGAATACAAGATTGGCTTAACATGCAAAAATCAATCCATAAAATTTACCTTGTTAACAGCCAAGATAGAATAGTCAAATAACCATCTCAATAAATGTAAGAAAAGTATTTGAAAAGTCCTACATTTACTCCTGACAAAAATTCGTAGCCAACCACGAATAAAAGGGAACCTTGCTCCGTTTGACAAAGAGTACCTATGAAAAACTGTCAGCTAACATTTAATGAGGAAAGACGGATGCTTTCTTCCTAAGATCAGGAACAAGGCAAGGTTTCCCACTCTAACGACTTCTATTCAACTTGTACTAGAAGATCTAGCCAGAGCAATGTGACAAGACAAAGAAATAAAAGGTATAAAGACTGGAAAGGAAGAAACCGAACTGCCTTTATTTGCACATGACACAACTGTCTATACAGAAAAGCTGATGAAATCTACAAAAAAAGCTACTAGCACTAATAAATGAGTTTAACAGCTAGCAGGGTAAAAGATTAATATAAAATCACTTGTATTTCTAAATACTAGCAACGAACAATCAGAAATTTAGATATAAAAAAACCATACCACTTACAATACACTAAAACTATGATAACATAGGGATGAATTTGACAAAAATATGCTAGTCCTATATATGGAAAACTACAAAATATTGCTGGAAAAAAGTTAACAAAAGCATTTAAAAAATAGATATACTGTGTTCATGGATTGGAAGACTCAATATTGTTACGATCTCAATTCTCCTTGGATTAGGCAAAGATTTTTAAAAATACAACATTAAAGCATGATCCGTAAAAGAAAAATTTGATAAATGGTACTTCATCAAAAATTAAGACCTTCTGCTCTTCACAAGACACTGTTAAGATAATGAAAAGACAACTGAAGAGAAAAATCTTTGCGAATCCCATCTTGATAAGGGACTTATGCCTTAAAATTCAATTATAAGAAAAAATCCATCCCGATTAAAAAAATGGGCAAATAATTTTAACAGACACTTCACCAGGCAGATAAGTAGATGGCAAATAAGCACATGAAAAGATGTTTAATGTCACCTGTTAACAGGGACATGCAATTTAAAACCATGATGAGATACCAGGGCACAATTTGTAGGGTGACTAAAATGAAAGACTGACTATACGAAGTGTTGACAAAGATGTGTAGCAACCAAAATGCTCACACACTGCTGCTGTGAACGTAACAGGGCACAATCACTATGGAAAACAGTTTGTCAATTTCTTTCTTTTTTTTTTTTTTAAAGATTTTATTTATTTATTTGACAGAGAGAGACACAGTGAGAGAGGGAACACAAGCAGGGGGCGTGGGAGAGGGAGAAGCAGGCTTCCGGCGGAGCAGGGAGCCCGATGTGGGACTCGATCCCAGGACCCCGGGATCATGACCTGAGCCGAAGGCAGATGCTTAACGACTGAGCCACCCAGGCGCCCCCAGTTTGTCAATTTCTTGAACAGTTATACACACATCATATGGCCTGGCCAGTCTGCTCCTCGGTGTTCATCCAAGACACAAGAAAGCATGTATCTACATAAACACTTGTACACGAATATTCATAGCAGCTTTATTTGTAATAGCGCCAAACTGAAAACAGCCCAGATGTCCACTAACCGATGAATGGATAAACAAAATGTGATATAGCTACACAATGGAATACTAGCCAGAAAGAAAAAGAAATGATCTACTGATCTCTGCAACCAAATGGATTAATCTCAATAGAATTTTGAATGAGAGAAGGCAGGAAAAAAGCTTAAGTATTATATAAATCCATTTTTATAAAATTCTAGAAAATGCAAACTAGCTAGTAGTGACAGAAAACAGACCAGTAGTTGCCTGGCGATGGGGAGGTAGGATACAGGAGTGGTGGCAAAAAGAGACTACAAAGGATACAGGAAAACATTAGGGGTGTGAGGGATGTGTTCATTATCTTGATTATGGTGATGTTTTCATGGGTATAATATATGTGAAGACTTATCAAATTATACATTTTAAATATGTATAGTTTACTGTATCTAAATTATACCCTAATAAAGCTATAAAAAATAAAATCATGTATGGTCATCCAAATGTCATACAGTTTCTCTCATGGTGTTGCCTTTTGCTGTTGACCATCAAGCTCTATCTGTCCCATTTGAACCAGCTACCTTGCAGTGTTCTGATGACAGTCAAGTTTTCCCTGAAAATGGGTTGCTTTTCTTCAGCGTCATGTTAACTTGACAAGTGAATTTTATTGAAGAATAGGGTCAACCAAGGAGTGAAACAGCAAGTTATAAGGTCCCAGACTGATGTGTTCTGTGTGGTGGCGGTTCGTGGTGGTGGCGGAGACAACAGAATATACACGCGACAGGTAAACAGCAGGTGGAACAGGTAGGGGAAGGGCAAAGAATCAGTGAGACAAAGAAGTGGACGGACAGGAAGGAAAGGAAGAGGGGAACTGGAGCGTGAGTGAGCAACCAAGTTCTTCTTTACTCTAATTTTTTATCATGTTAGTATGCCTCTGATGTCCTTGGGCAGATGACAAATACTTAAATTACTTTCATACACTAAACAGTGATTTAGAACAGTAATATGAGAAATGAAATTAATTTACCCTAGAGAAAAATACTAGCCACCAAGTTCAACAATGAAAGACTTATTTTCCTTGGTTTTCTGGATATCTTGCAAGGTGAGACACCACCAACCAATTTATATAAGGTCGTTTTCAGACCTTAATATTTTCATTACTTGTCTTAACATGCACTAATCATGGTCCAACATCTCTAACCCAGCTGGAGTCGGTCCCAGTGGTCGAGCAAGAACAAAAATAACATGATAACCATTTGGGGAAGGGTGGTTACGTGAGCCTGAACCCTCCAACCCCCAACTCTGAAAGTCAAAATCAAATCAGTTTTATTTTCCTCTTTGAAGGCACATTCAAAGTAAATCCACATTTGTTTTTAGCAGCAAGAAACGGTCTATAAAAATCGTAAGATTTTCCTACCTTGACAAAAATTGTTGAATTGCATTCTTGCAATGCCTCCATTAAACTAATCACATGGAGACACACCATTTCTACCATCTGAAACAACAAATATGAAAATCAATTCCACTCCCAGTGATCCAGAAACCTTGAAAGCTAGTCTACAGCCACAGAGGACCCCCATCCTGTGCCCATGAATCTTTTGGGCACAATGACTGAAGGGGACCACAAGGAGTGGTGTTTATTCACCTCCAGAACTTCAACTAGAAACTGACTTTAAAAAGCTCTAGAGGTTTTATAATTGTCATGGCCTCCTTATCTGACTCAGGGCTGCCAATGGAATTTGGGGATTGATCTCACTGATCTGTACTGCATGTGATTCATACCAGAGGATACATGCCTTCTCCTCCCCTCCTTCCAGCTACAGAACTTGGCCTTGGGTCCTTTTCTCCATCTTGACCCTTTCTCCCCAGTTTCTTCACCTGAAGTGGCTGTTTTAGTTATTACACACCTGTCTTTGCGGTTTGTTCTCTACAGAACAAGGTGGCCATGTTGATGACAGTTCAAAAATACAATGCAGTGGACGCCCCTCCTCAGAAATTCCTAAGGCTGGATTTTTGAACACTCCAAGGGGATTTTACCGAACTGGCATATAGAGTTTAACAAATTTTTCAGGATAAAATTAATTCAAACACTACTCGTAGCATTTTTTTGTACAAAACTCATTTGTAACAGATTCATTTCTAACACCTGTGTATCAAAGAGATTCGGAGGAGAGGTATAATGACATTAGAAGGACACCAAATCTCTATTTAAGGTCCCAGTTTTATTGTCTGTAAAGTAACAGAACAGAATGCTTGATCTCTAAGTTCCTCTTCAGTCTCGGACTCTGTGATCCGAGAAATGTTTACCTCAGAACTGTTTGTGCACCCTAAAATTGTCACATAAATTTCCTTTAAATTGAACTAAAATACTTCTCTCCATCCAGAATTGCTTTATAACATCTGCTTCTCTAAAGACAGGGAAGTGCTTCACTGAAGGAAATATATAATCCCCTTTCCAATTACAGCTGAGAGAAAATGTTTCTTAGACTAGTATCAATCAATCAAAAGTCATTTCCGGAATGCCTTTTGTGGACAGCGCATTGTTGGGTTTCTGGGCACACTGGAATCATCATTAGGATGTTCTTCCAGATCCCCTGCCCCTCACAGATGAGAATTCGGCTGATAAAGCCCCCATAACCGAGATACTAATTACTGCTTGCCCAGCTGAGACTCCTCCTCCAAAGTAGCAAACTGAACCAAAGGACTTCCTTGTCCATTCCTTCCATCTACCTCCTATCTTAACGTCATAGGACTAATCCAAGCTTGTTCAATGAAGTGGGCTCATGCTAAAAATACCTCAGATATTTTCCAGTGAGGTTCTGAGCAGCCCCTCTCTTGGTGGGCCACTGGAGTTAAACCTGAACTGGATTTGAAGATTGGAGGGCTTAGGTCCTCCCAGGGCAACTCAAAAAAGGGGAGGCTCTTTCAGGTTTTGAGCGCTGAGTGGAATGAACATGTGTGGTTGGTCTGCTCTTAAATACCACAAAAGGATGACACAATGGGCTAGGGTTTTTCCAAATTGCCTTGGAATCCAAAAATAAGATGAATCTCCTTCTGACTTTATAGCACGGAACAGCCCTTTCAAGGTCGATGTTTCACAGAAATTTCCTTTGGCACTCAGCAGAGTGAACAAAAGTTGTTTTTACTAGATTGACTCGTTTGCTTTGTCTCCCCAGCAAAATTACTATGCAAGCAGAGTGTTAGGTTTATAACAAAGAAATCCAGCCATCCATTGATCTAATATTACACCTGAGATCCTTAAAGAACAGGGAATGTGAGGACTGGGTACAGACCACGCCTTTTCATCCGAGAGGGAAACTTATTGGTGGACTCACCACTTTGTTATGGGCCATCAGCTGAAGGATGCTGGGCGTCACCCTGCTCCAAAACTCTAGTGCGGTCAGTATCGCCGTGAAGCTGAATTCATTCTGACTTTGGACGTTTGTTGCTACGGCACTTTGTTCGCAATACACAGTCCAGAGCTGAGCAAAGATAAACGCATGGAAGAGAGAGCACATGTGCAGCACGGAGGTCTGAAAAGGAGGAGACAGGAGCCGTTACCTCTCCGTGGGCTGCAGTGCTCCCCAGGGCCTGCCCTGCACAGCCTCGGCCTCCTGCGGAGCACAGCCCAAGCACAGTGACCGCCAGTGATCCGAGCCTGTTACAAACTTGTGACCCACCACCTTAAGACAGTCTGATTTGGGGCGGCTGGGGGGCTCAGTCAGTGAAGCGTCTGCCTTCGGCTCAGGTCATGATCCCGGAGTCCTGGGATCGAGTCCCGCATCGGGCTCCCTGCTCCGCGGGGAGCCTGCTTCTCCCTCTCCCTCTGCCCCTGCTGCTTCCCCTGCTTGTGCTCTCTCTATCAAATAAATAAAATCTTTCCAAAAAAAAAAGATTTTTTTCTCTTTTTGCTCTGTCAGTGGGAGTGCACAGAGAGAACGGAGCATCTTTTCAAAGAGAAGGCACCTCAGTTTGCAGAACACGTCTACCCACCCCCTTGCCCATTAATGACACCGACATTCTCCTGTCTAAACTAGATTGGGAAGAATAACCATTCTACCACCTTCAGGGGTTTCCTCATCTGTAACATGGGGATAATAGGACTCTCCTTCCTCAAAGAGCTATAGTTAGGAGGAATAAGATGGTGCATCTGATCCCACGGCCCAGCACTTAACATGATGTGACTGCCAGTAGGAGAAAGGGCAGCAGCAAAGACAATAGTCCTCCCAGGGGTAAGCACTGACCGACTGAGCACCTACAACTTCCCAGACGCCGGGCTAAAGACTTTTCAAAGATCACTTCCATAATTCTCAAACCATTCCTTCATCTATTTTACCCACAAAAAACTGGAGCTCAGAGAGGCTAAGTAACTTTCTCGAGGTCAAAATTACAAAGTACCGTCGTTAGGAATCAAACACAGATCTGGCTCGAAATACTAGGAACTGACTGCCCGATTCTTTCTGTAAACATCACTTGGGCCGTTTGGACGGTGCTCTATTTTATCACAGCGTCGGCTTGCCCTGGCCGAGATCCCAGAGGCTCCCAAACATACCGTGACTTTCCAGAACTTGCCTAAGCTTGCGAAGGGCCCTTGGCTTCTCTTAGCTGATTAGTACCAGTGTGTCTGGTTTGCCTACACTGGCTCATGACTGATACCTGCCTTGGGTTCACTTTATTCCCTTAAGCACATCATCTGTTTCTACAGTTTACAAAGTTCCCCTGTGTCGGTGATTCCGGCGTGCACTCCAGTGAGTTCCCCATTGGCCTTCTTGTTTTCATTTTGTATCTTTATATATCTATCTCTAGAGATGTGAGTTGAAAAGATAGTGCATGAGAAATTAGAGCATGAATTTGCCTCCAATTCATACTCGGTTCCAACAACTGATCATAGGATTTTTATTATGTTGCTAGCCTCTTATTTCTCTTCATTACTTTGAGACAGAAATGCCTAGGAAGCTAACTCTTGCTTGCCTCCATAATTTATCTTCATAAAAGGAAACCGAAAGAATTTAAGGAGGAAGCAAAGATAGTGCGGGAATTTAAACCACTTTAAATAAGGCATTAGCACAAAGTTGCTCTCCTAACATCCACAGGAGGGCCACTGATAAGATGCATTCTCTTCTCAGAAGAAACATAATTGGCTGATAAGAGTTTCCATTAGCAATTTCGATGCCTACGGTCTTAAGCTTGCAGAAATCACTTACCTTTGATTGCTCTGGAAATCCAATCAGGATAACAATAAGATGGTCTGCGATATGAGAGCCTGCATCCAGAGGTATGGGCAGGCAGGGAGAGGAGGCATTTGGACACACTGCATTATGAGTGAGGGAGCCCAGGAGTAGCCAGGACAGCAGACGGATGCGGGAGACACACTCGATGAATTCTTTCGGTCTAGCAGGTAGAAGGAAGTGTTAAAGGCGATTTTATGGTTGCTGTTTTGTTGGGCGCTCACCAAATGCTTATTGATGGAGGGCATTAAAAGTGCAGTTTTATAGGCAATTACATACAATAAAACACCAAGGTGACAGAGTGCCAACAAAATGATGTATCTGTTTTTCTGGTTTCCTGCTCTGATCCCGGACCTTAGCTGCTTGAGAAAAGAGCAGCTTCTGGGGACACGGAATTAAAAATCATTCTTCCACCAACCTGGCTGCCTTTCCGACTAGCTTCTTTTTCTTAAACTCTTTCTTCCCACTGGAAGGTTTGACATCCCCACTAGAGGGGAAGGAATCGAGGCAGACACCTAAAACACAGCCACCCATTTTCCTGCCTTCCTGGTCATTTCCTTCCGCTGCCCTCCTGCCCTCCTTACCCCGACTGCCTGCCTTTCCTCCAGCCAGGAAGCTGACTGTGCAAAATGGCAGCCACAAACCAGCCCACGTGCCGCCTCCCGCCTGTGTCTCCCTGCGCTCCATCTCCTCTCCGCTATGGATTTTGTCCTAGCTGCAATCCAACATGCTCCTGGAAGGCAGATGCTATGTAAGTGCTCAAAAAATACCTATCGATTTATTTAACCAGTTTGAATTGAGTTAAAACTGCACTTCTAAGCTCCAAGTTTTCATCATCCATCAGGATATGGCTGAGGTTCTTGTTTGAGGGCAAGTTCCTTTTATTGGCAGCGTATCAGGAAGTGCTCGTGTTCAAAAATGCTGCCAGGTCAGCAAGTATGGAGATGAGGCTCGGTTCCCATCTTCCCAACTGATCACATCCCACTCCCATAAATCTTCGATGCATCCATTAGCCCACGCCACAGTACTAATAAGGGCCTTACCCTTGTTGCATCGCAGAAGGGGGATGATAGAGCCAAGGCAGATAGCGAATCACAGCTTTGTTATCTCTGTGGTTGCCCCGTGAGATTTCCATGGCTGCAATCTGAGCCAGCCCAACTTTGAGATGTCCACCAAAGGTATCTTCATGCAGAGGCTGGGAACATGTCTTCATGTGGCTCTGCAAAAGCAAATGGTGTTTCATGACTTTGGCAGAGTACCTGGAAATCTTCCAGGCCACTTGTTAGAAAGATCAGGTTGTCATTCCCTCACCTTCTAAACCACCACTCCCAAGCATACAACCCATTTAAACTTCTTCAATGGCTTCCCATTGTTCTTAGGATAAAGGGGGCGAAAATTCCTTAGCATGGACTAAAAAGCCTAGGATGATCTAGCTACTGCAGACCTCTGCATCTTACCCCTTCATCCCAGCTACACTGGCTCCCTCCCGTTCCTGGCCTTTGCTCATGCTGGTCTCTCTGCCCAAAATACTGTCCCTGCCTCTCTTCACCCAATTAACTGCTATTCATTGTTCAGATTTTAGCTCAAATGTCCCTTCCTCTGGGAAGCCTTCCTTGACTTCCCTGGCTAGGTCATATCGTCCTGTGGGAAGTGTCTATACCACTGTTTTACCCTCCTTCATAGCAGTTGTGAAAGTCACACTTTTACTTTATCTTGTATGAAATCTTCATTAAAATTGGCCCCCATTACCAGACTATAAATTAAATGAGCACGGCTACTGTGTGTTTTTGCTCATTGCCACGTCCCTACATGCCTAGAACAATGCCAGGCATGTGACAGGTGCTCAATACATATTTGTTGAGTTAATGTAGAAAAACTCCTTTTCACAGTGTGACTTAGTGGAAAGACCACTGAACCGGAAATTGAGACCTAGCTCCAGTTTTGCCCTACTGAGTCACATGGCCTTAGTCAAGCTACTTGCCCTTTCTGATCTGCCTCCTAATTAATCTATGTCAAATCGGACAGTTGAATTATATCTCTAGTCCCCAACCTTTTGATCATCATGGATCCTTCTTATTGTTTTTCTCTGTATATTGAAAGTGGCTATAAAACTAGCTAAAATGTTTAGGGAACAATGTTTCCTCTTATTTATACTTGATATCAAAGTCATTTGAGTGTGGACAACCAGACTCAGCGGTCAGTGACCAGTGCGTGGTCAAGCACCAGGGGAGCCTGCTTAGGAATGCCTGGGTTCAGATACCATGAGAAGTCAGCTGTTTAAATTCTGGTTCTTTCCACCTAGCATTTACAAATCCATCCCTATCCCAAGAAACACTTGGATCATCTGAGCAGAGTCTGGAAACTGGGTTGGGCGATGGAGGAACCGCATTTGTAGCTGATGACCTTCTGGGATGACTAGATCCTATTTATCAAGAAGGAACCATTTACTGAGAGCTTGCAATCTGGCTGCTCCTTGGACCGTGTTTGGATCCCCTTCTGCCCTCTGTCCAGGGCCTTCCCCAAATCTCCGAGACTATCAATCTTTTAGCTCCCTAGTTGACTCATGGTGGGGAAGTTGACTTGTATCAGCCATTCACCCGACCCTGCAAAGCAATTAGTCAGGAACCTCAACAACTTCACCGGGATTCTGTCCATATGCAAATCAGATTTTGTTCTATCCCTTGTCTTTAATTATTTCCTTGAAGAAGAGAGCTTTGATGGAGATAACCATGAAAGGCTTGAGTTTGCATAATGTGTTATAGTTCACAAAAGTCTCTTTGGCGCACAACGCCATGTCAAACCGCGTAACCATTGGCAAAGGTAGATGTTAGGCTTATCTTGCAAAGGAGGGAGCGGAGGCTCAAGGTAGTTAAGTGACACTACACGGCGTAGCGAAAAGAGAATGACCGGGAGCCACTGGAGTCTTGGGTCAACCCTGACTCCACCGCTTAGCAGCAGGACCACCTTGAGCAAATTACTGTATCACCCCGGGCCTCAGTCTCTACATCTGTAAAATGGGGACCACACTTCACCAGGGGCATCGTAAGAACTGAATCAATGGCAAAATGAAAGCTGTGCACATCACTCCTGCCATGGAAACAGCCTTTCTGTTCTCTTTTCCCCCTTTGCACAGGCTGAAAACCCAGTGCTTCAGACCTCCAAGAGTCTGGGTTTGTTAGGGTCGCGGCTGCCAGTGGAAGCCTCTTACCTTGAGTTTGGTGAGCGTGTGCATGTCGGCCATGAAGTCCAGCACCTCGCTGATGTACTGCCGCACACACTCCATCGCGGCAGTCCCACACTGAAACACAAGGACAACACTGGGGGCGCCTTCACCATGGCCCTGACTGCAATCACTGTCTTGTTCTGGCTTCACGCTGTTTACTAATGAGCTGTTTCAGTTTCTGGAGCTCTGACTCACTCCGTTACTCTCCAGAATCTGTGACTGTCTGCCCACAGTTTGGACAAAAATTGGTAAAATGTTGGTGGCAAAGCGCTAAGAAACAGGGGCAGCCTAGGCGAGACAGGAGTTAACCTGCTTTTTCTCCACTGGGGGATCGAACTGGATTTTGTGTGCTTGTTTTTACACTGGCCTGGACACAATGATTTAGCCTTTGTAAAAGCCGTTAGGACCAGAGTCCTTATGACATGAATCAACCCTGAAACTACACTAACCCTTATCACTCTGGGGAGCCTTAGACACGCACCAAAGCCTTAGATACTCAATATGTGCCACCTAATTCTGACACCAGAAGCTCGAACCTTTTCCCATCAAAAAACGAAAGGATAGAAACAAACATCATGTGGTGCTGAAAGAGTCCAAAATTCTTATATTCAAGTCACTTGCTATTTAATGCCTTATGCACAGTAGGCGTACAATGAAATAGATAAATGTGCGCTTTATGCTTGCTGTGTTCTTGCTAGGGATAAACGGGAGAGACAGAAGTGAAATGATCCTCTTCCCCCCGCACCAGCAGCCTGTTTGGGAAGTTTTCAAGGGAAAGAAAGCACACTTGTGTCCCCGTTATTAAATGGCATAAACCTGCCCGGGGCAATGCAGTGCATTTAGGATTATAAACAAAGAAAAGGCAAATGAACAGACAAGCTGCTCCATCAAAGCTCTATGAGCAAGCCCACACATTGGGCCGGGTATAATGTGGATCAAAAGCAGGCCGTCTTTGAAGCCATCTGAATACTATGCTAAGGCCTTTCTTGGCTTTCTTTTGGAAAATCTGGAACATCAGAGACTTAACTAGCTCCCCCAGTGGCGCTCATTTTCCCATATGCATGTAAATTTGCACAGCCCTGAACTACCTCACCTTCTATCTCTTCTAGAATGTTACGCCTGTCAGTTCCTCTGACACGATAACAAACAGTAAAATAAGGTCATTGGCAGCGCTGTCAGAGTGTTTTCCCAGCATCTCATACTTTCTACGGTTTTCTTCTTTTAATTTAAATCAAGGGAAGGAATTATAAAAGGTTATTGTGTTCCTGCTTTTGGAATATTAATCCTTCAGTGCAAGAAAGGATTTCCCCCCGATTTATTCCATTTTCTCTGACCTTTCACATGTCATGCAAATAGGAGCATATACTCTGTTCTTTAATTTCTTGAACAGGATTTGTTTCTTTCATAGGCAATATTTTATACCATTTCAACGAGGTAAATGTCAAAGAAAATAATTACAAGGAGCATTATTCAATATTTGTCTCCTCACTTTGAATTTCAAAAAATGAGAGCAAAGAATTTACTAATATCCAGTTACTTTTGCTCCAGAGACAGCACCTACATCTAATAAAAGCTTTAAAATACAGGATCATCTTATCCATCTACACTTATAAAACAAAGCATATCATTTCCAATCCCCCCACCCACCTTTTTTTTATAATTACTTTGCAAAACGTAAGCATAACCTTAGGTGTGTTGTTTTTTTTTAAAAAGCGAAAAACATAACGAGTCAAGTTCTACTTGTTTCAGAAGGCCCATATTTATTTCAATAGGGTAACTGATGATAAGGTACTGAAAAAGCAGCCGAAACTCAAAAACATGAATGCAAGTGAATCATACCCAATTCTTCCTTGAAACTCATATCTCATTTCAAAGTTATGTTTCTTAGATTATAAAAGTAACACATGTTCAATGTGGAAAACTTGGGAAATAGAAATTAACAAAAAGGAGAAGAATCACACAGTCCTAACTCCTGTCCTCCACTTGTGAGATGGTCACTATGGATATTACCTTCCGTTTTTTTTTAACACATACAACATACACATATACATATAATTTTCAAAAGGCTGGGATCATTTTTTCTAGCCTACTTTTAAATTAAATCCATCATAAGCATTTTCCACTTAATTATTCTTTGAAAACGTGATTTGGTAGCCACATAATAGCCTATTTTATAGAGGCACCTTACTTTATTTAAACATACACTAATATTAGTCAACACCAAAAAAAAAAAAAAACCACTCTGATTAAAAAATGGGCAGAAGACATGAATAGACATTTTTCCAAAGAAGACATCCAGTTGGCCAACAGGCACATGACAAGATGCCCCAACATCGCTCATCATCAGGGAAATGCAAATCAAAACTATAATGAGATATCACCTTACACCTGTCAGAATGGCTAGAAAAAAAAAAACAAAACAAGAAATAACAAGTGTTAGCAAGGATGTGGAGGAAAAGGAACCCTTGTACAGTGCTGGTGAGAATGTAAACTGGTACAGCTACTGGGAAACAGTATGGAGGGTGATCAAAAAATTAAAAATAGAAACACTACATGATCCCCAAATTCCACTACTGGCTATTTATGCAAAGAAAACAAAAACACTAATTCTAAAAGACACATTCACCCCTATGTTTATAGCAGCATTATTTATAGTAGCCAAGATGTGAAAGCAATTTAAATGTCTGCCAATGGATGAATGGATAAGGAAGATGTGGTGTGTACACACACACACACACACACACACACACACACACACACACTGGAATATTACTGAGCCATGAAAAGGATGAGATTGTGCCATTTGAGACATCACAGACAGACCTAGAGATATTATGCTAAGTGAAATAAGGCAGACTGAGAAAGACAAATACCATCTGATTCCATTCAAATGTGGAATCTAAAAAAAACAGTGAGTAAACAAACAAACAAAAAGCAGAAGCAGACCTATAAACACAGAGAACAAACTGATGGTAGCCAGAGGAGAGGGGGTGAGGGGGTGGGCAAAATGAGTGAAGAGGAGTGCAAGACACAGGCTTCCAGTTAGGAAATGAGTAAGTCACAGAAATAAAAGGCACAGCATAGTCGTAAATGATACTGTAATAGTCGTAAATGAGACTGTGGTGATGGACAGCTGAGCAATGCTAACACTGAGCAGAGGATAACATACAAACTGGTGGGATCATCATGCTGTCCACCAGAAATTAATGGAACATTGTATGTCAATGATACTCAAAATGAAAGTTTTAAAAAAAACAATACACTCGTGTTAGGTCTTAATTTTGTTTCCATATTTTTACTATTTTAAATGCTCCTCTAATAAATATATTAATTATGTGTATATTAAATTATTTTTTCCAATATTGTACTAGAAGTAAACTGTCAAACTGTTCTTTGGCAAGGTTGTACCATTTTTCACTACCACCAGCAGCTTATAAAAATGCTTGTTTCATATCATCAGCAAGTTTAATCATTAAGAAAGACCTGCCGATTTGCTAGCTGATTTTAATTTTTATGTTTTTAAATATTTTAATACTTTGTATTAATTTATAGTACACTGATTGCTAGTGAGGGTAAAACGCATATTCTGAATGGCTTATTGGGCACTGGAAAAGGTTCTACATATGGATCCTATAACTGTTTTTGCTTTTCTGTTGTTATTGGAATGTCTGTCTTTTACTTGTTGATTTCAACGAAATTTTTATTTATTAGGGATATTATTTTTTAAGCTATCATGTAGGTAGTAAATACTGAGTTTTAAAGAATTAAACAATAAGGAAACTAGTGGGTATGCAGCAGAAACTGGCTAAGTCCTCACAGAACTGCTTCTCTTCTTCCCTCACATGCAACTAGACCAAATTTCCCACCATCCCTTGCAGTCAGGAATGGCCATATGACAGTTCTAGCCAACAGAGTGTGAGTAGAAGAAATATGTGTCATTCAGACCTGGCCCGTGAAAACTTCCATGTACCATATTCTCTTCTCTTTCCCACCCACCAGTTGATTGCAGAGGACTGCCCATTCCAGAAGGAACCTGACCCCCAACTTTCATGTAGAAATCCTCCTCCTTCTAATCTGGACACCCAATTAAACTTTATATGAGCAAACAATCAACTTTTTGTGTGTTAGGTGGCCGGAAATTCATCTCATGGCATCCTCCATCACCCTAACTGCTATTAAGAACTCTTTAAAAAAACAATAGTCTAGTAATTCTACTCCCAAAAATATATTATAAAGAAATAGTCTCAAATATGGACAAAGATTTAAACACAAAGATGTTTCTCACATATTAGTTACAATTGCAGAATACTGAAAATAATGAAAATACCCCAAAATAATTAATGTTTGCTAATATACACACTAGGTAATGTTTACTTAGCATGACTCGAGGTCTGGCATCATGCTAATAGGCTTTCCATGCATTATCTCACTCCATCCCCAAACTAGACACTGGGCCCTATTATATCCCATTCTATAGATAACACAAATCAAAGAATCATAGATTAAATAACTTTCCTGATCACACAGCTAGTAAATGGCGGACCTCAGACTCTGCTGTGAGTCTAACCCACATGCACTTAACCACTATTCTATGGTGCGTTCACATGAGGTAAAAACGCTGCATCCATCAAACCTTGGGGATAATGCTTAGGACATATGAAGCCAAAGCCACATCTACATCATAATTTCACTAGGTTTAAAAAACATGCATAGAAAAAGTGAAAGAAAATATGTTAATATGTTGGCAATAAAACTACCTCTGGGCTGAGTGATTGTTACTTTTCCTCTGTCATAAAATTTTTCCACGTCAAAAAAAATTAAATAACCAGTATTTAAAAAAAATAATGTTTAGCATTGGGGATAAAACTGGTATACTTGTAAATTAATAAAACCCTTTTAGAAAACAATATGAGAATACATACCATTAAGACATTCCTACTCGCTAAGGAATTTATGCCAAGGATATAATTCAAAATAAACATGAGGATGGTCTTTATAGGAACATATATATACTAGCAATGAAAATGGAAAGTAAATAAATTTCCAACAATATGGAAATAAGCAAATTAGCATACTGAATAGATCAAAATATGAAAAAATTTTCTAAAACAGAGTTCTAATTATAAGGCAGAGGGATTATGGGTGATCTTTTTACTTTAAAATTTACTCTACTGAAAATTTAATTTTTTTTCAATTAACAATGAATATCTTTAAAGTTTCTGAGTTTCGTTGCAACTTGCTCTCAGTGTTATTGTGGTTTCTCATCTTCAGCCCCGTCAGTGACAATCTTAACCTATTTTTCCAAATAATTCACTAGTTGATAATAATGGGAATTTTTTTTTTAATTTTCAGAGGAAATAGTACAAAGGAAACCAACGTATCACAACGTTTATTTCTTTCCGGCAGTAGTTAAATTGAATTGTTTAACAGGAGCCAGTCTAAGAAAACTGATTCTAGAAAAACTGAACTATAATCAAATGTATTTTGTATGTAATTTCTTTCCTCCCCTTAACTAGCTGTTTCAGTTTTACTCATGTCTCCTGGAATTAAAAGTTTCCAGCGGCTGGGATTAATTGAAATTTTCACTAGCGCTCTTTTTTAAAAAAAAAATGCTAATATGTTCTCAATTTTATAGTGTTTTTTTTTTTCTATCAAGAGTGAACCAGGACACAGACCCAAAAATACCTATTCACTAGATGGGGAAATGAGAGGAAATATAAAATGTAGACAATTAATTCAGTCAGGACTTACTCCAGGTACGGAGGCAATCATCTGCTTGCTCAGGATTGTTGACTCAGCTAGTTTGGTTCCAGCATCTGCACAAATAAACTAATAAGAAATTGAAAGCATAATTACTTTTAAGAGCACTTGGACAGTAATAAGTTATTTATAGTTTTATTAACTCGGCTTAAATTCATTAGTGTTTACTCTCATGACAATCTGCCCTGGATATATGGGGCTTGCTAATCATGACAGTTTGTTCCTATCAGAAATTCAGTCGAGTGGTACTGAGACTAACACACAGATTCTTACTTTACCCAGACAGCTAAGTGGCACTGGAATGGTACATTCAATCAAGGGAGAAAGGAAAGACTTGGTCAACACTATCAGATTTATTCTGAAGTTATTCTATTTATTCTTTAGTACTTCTTGACAGTTCCTGAATTCACATAGATTTTTTTCCAGACTTCATCATTATATTACACATTTAAAATGAAGACAGAAAAACAATCAACCTCATTGTGAGTATTCTACCTGTTTCTTCCCATCCGAGGCCCCTCAGTTGCTGGTCTTGTCTCTCTCACGTCACCCAAACCCATCCTCTGTGCTGATAATGACCCTCACCCCTGTCCTTGCCTCATGGGACTTTTCACGCACTTCCCCTGTAACAGTCACAACACTAGACTGTAGTGACCTAGGAGTCTATGTTGCAACCCCCTACGAGCTCTCCGAGGGCACAGACTCCATTCACCTGCCCCACAGAACTACCTTCCTGCTCGACATCATGGAGGGGCTCAGCAAAACTGTGTGAAATGAATCAATGAATCAATTATGACAAGATCATGATGGGGATGGATTTGCCAGGTTACAATTTAATTTGCTTCATTACAGATGTTTATAGGTGTTTCCCACTTAATACAACACCCAACTGTGTATTAATGGTTTCAGGAAAAAAAGTTAAACATGAAGTCTGCAGAGTTTGCTATGAACGATTAAGTCCTGCTTAATTTCTCTTGCCTGGCCTCTGGCCAGTGGCCCCAACAACTCTGGGATCCAAAGCTGCTGTTACGCATAGTTCAGCGGCTCTGGAAGAAGCTTTGACACTGACAGTTCTTCCTACCCATTCCACTCTCACACTGGAAGAAAAGTTATGTAGGTCAAGATGAAGAGTCCTGTGAGGCAGGTTAGGTCCCTGGCAAACTGGGGAGAAGTAATACGGGTTCGGGTCACAGAGAAAAGCTCAAGGGGGCCTGATAAAAAACAGAAACCAGCATACTGTCAGGCTAATCAGGGCTCAGAATCAGAGCATTAATAGGTAGCGGGTTTTGGATAACAACGCAGAGATTTCAGCCAAAGACCTTCTGAGGCGCCCTGAGACTTCTTGTTCAAGGCCTTGTTCAAGAGCTAGTCTTCAAGTGTGATCCTCCAGGAGGAGTATTTCGTCAACAGAACTGAGCTGGGGGCCAGAGGAGAGCGAGCACAGCTGTCTCTGACAGCCGCATGGCAGGAGTAAATGCGTATCTCCACTCCTCATTCACACACAATCATCTCCATTCGCCTCAAATATAGTTACAGAAAGCTGAAGAATCTCTTTGGCCATGAACTCTGACTCTGGCAAAGAAAGTACCAGCTAGTAATATCCAGGGAACACTTAAAATTTTCCATTATTTTATTCAGGAATGCTTACCACTTGGACTTATTCCTAATATAAGTAAAAGGAAATAAATCAGGATTTAAAAAAAAAAAAAAGGAAAGCCTATAACTTTGGCCAGAACCTGTCAGTAAAAAAGTAAAATATTGGATGGAAGTACATGGTCAAAAGAAGAAACAGTTCCAACCTCCTGGCAGATACTGCATGTTCTCCCATAAAATGTATTTTCAAAAGCTATCTGAGTCTGCAATCTAAGACAAACTACTTAGAACTGAGTTCCAAAACCTCTGTCAGGATACCAACATTTTAATTAATTTCTTTACAGCAGAAATGAGAGCCAAGAGCCCAGGGGAGGACAGAAGTACATACAAGTGTTAGGGAAGGGAAGCTCAGGCAGAGAGGATGCTCTGCTGTGGTTTCAGGCCTATGGCCCCCTAATGTGTGCTTCCATGGCCTGGCTGTGCCCTTGAGAGCAAGAGAAGATCAGTGGAGAAGCAAAACTTCAATGTCTCTATCTCCCTTCAGAAGTACCCCTTCTCGCCTCCCATGCTCAGCAAAGCTGAACGAGTAGCATCATGGAAGTAGGTTGTCAGTCATATCACGTCATCGGTGGGAGGCCAAATTAAAATGTCTGTTTTGTGTTAACTCTTAGAAGTCAAAATTAATCAAAAATCACCCATCTACCATTTGTTTTCTATCAATGCATTTAAACCCAGTGTAATTTAGGGGGCACCCGGCTGGCTCAGTCGATAGAGCATGCAACTCTTGATCTCGGGGTTGTGAGTTCAAGCCCCATGTGTGGTGTGGAGTTTACGTAAAATTTAAAAAACATTTTTTTAAAAATAAAAATAAATAAATCCAGTGTAATTTTCACATAATATGTACAACTAAAACCTTAACAAACACTTCTGTCTTTTTACACAGCTGCCAACCATGAACTGCAATACCCCATTCTGATTGTACAGAATTGTTCACAATATAAAGATATAACTAAAACCAGAGAGGGAAAGGATGTTTGTCACAGAGGGAAGAGTTCCATACTTTGAGACAGAAATATGCCTAATGAAACATGCATTCCCTCACGAACACAAAAGAATACAAAAGAAACACGACATCCATTATGTGTCATTGTTAAATTATCAAAATGAGACTCAAAATAATATCTCCACCGCTCACCCAGAGAGTGATCAGATTATTAGTAACTCAACTAATAATAATAACCCCACGTCAATAGTAATCTGTGACTTAAAGACAACAGCCATCCCTCTGCATGTCTTTGTCCTCCAGCCCACCACGAACCTATCTTTAAAAGCAAATGTTTCACCCACACGGTTTCTCACACTAGACTGTGCAGGTATATCCCACACAGTGGGAGAGCCACATGCAAATTAGTAGAATGTCTACTCTTGACACATAATAGGAGTTGAGGAAATGCTTTTTGATTTGGGCTTATATAGCCTTTACGGAGGCTTTTAATGAGTTACCACTCTATTATGAAGACTCTGCTTTAATCCCAGCAAGAGAAGACTTATAATAACCTATTACACATAAGCAATCTACAGCTGACCAGCTGAAAAGAAGAGGTCGCTGGTGAAAGCAAAAATGTCCACAGGTCTGAATGAAAACAAGATAGGGCATCTGTCCAAAGTGCTGAAGGACTACGTCCTGCTGGTCGAAGATCTAGATTCTGAAGAACACACATATCTTTTTCAATTTGGCAAATTCTTTCCTATCTCCGAGCCTCTTTTCTTGAAAAAGTAAAGAATCCACTTGCGGGTGGATGGTGCCTGGGTGGCTCAGTCGTTAAGCATCTGCCTTCGGCTCAGGTCATGATCCCAGGGTCCTGGGATCGAGCCCCAAATCGGGCTCCCTGCTCTGCAGGAGGCCTGTTTCTCCCTCTCCCACTCCTCCTGTTTGTGTTCCCTCTCTCGCTGTGTCTCTCTCTGCCAAATAAGTAAATAAAATCTTTAAAAAAAAAAAGAGTCCACTTGCACATCTAAGGACTCCTGACCTGATACACAAGTCAAAATAAGTACTAGGAGCCATGGCTAGACGACACAGTGAGCAGGTGGGAGATTTCCCATGATACCAGGCCTCCAAAAGGAATTTCTAAGAATTAAAAAACTAATTGGTACCTAAACTACCTTGAACCATTTAAAACTTGGGTGGCCCCACATCCCTTGGGTAAATGTTCCATTGTTAAGGAGAGAGTATGTGGTAAACAACAAAGATATCATCTATCTATGAGAAGAATGTTAAAGGCTCCATGTCTGTGAACTCATCTACCCAGTCCATGATTAGAGAAACAGTAATGGAAATACCCTAGTGGTCCCTGTGGGAGGAAAGAATGAAAGGGAAAACCCAAGGCCTGAGCAACTGACTCTGTCACTAATGCAGCCAGGGGTCATTCATGATGGATCCCTGGGGGAGTTTTTCATTCCAATGGATGCTTTCCTTTCTGTTTCCAAGTTGCATTTTCAGTTAAACAAAACCACCCCCACTGCCATCAGATGATGGTTGCTGATATCTGTAGAGGAAGTCACTGTTGGCCCCAGACAGATTATCTGTCCACACTGTGAGCCTGGTCTTCCAGGTGCCAGGAACTGATATTCCATCGGTAAGGACGAAAGCTTCTCTCAGACTCCAGACTAGATTCTCTGGTCTAAGAGAAGCTACCAGACAACAGCCTATCACCTCCGCCATCATCCAGAGAACACCTGCAGGAACCCTACAGTCAAGGGCAAGAAATAAAGGAACTGGAAAAAATTACAGAAAGGTGTCCTACTCATGAAGAGAGACAAAAGATGCTTCTCCCTCAGTCCATGAGGGGCCCCATGGGGGACCTCTCTCCTTGGCTAAGGAGGAACCACTGGGCAGATAAGGAAACTACCTCTGTTTTTTCAAGTGTGCTTAACTTTTATTTCTCTCAGTAATGAAAATGGTATATTCTAAGAGTATATAGAACAAAAATGTATTACTTCAAAATGGTGTACTGTTTAACATTTTTTCATCGGGAAGATTGAAACATTATTCATAAAGTCGTTTCTCATGCGCATGACCCCAAAGTGTCTCCGAAATACCTCTCCAAGTTAAATAATTTTGCAACTTGATTCTTAACATTTAATGATTCCATGACAAATACATACTTGTTCTAAAAAGATGAAGATGGTATTTATTTGAAATGGTATACGAGAATCCAAAAAACACATTCAGAGCAATCTACTCTTTGGGGCTTCTTTATTCCTAAAGCTAATTTGTTTTTGTTATTTATTCACCTAGTGGTGATGCACTAATCACTGTTTTCATGGTCTCCTTAAGCAATGGGCAATTTAAACTGTCAGTGTTCTTTTATTGTCTTGTGACAAGTGCTTATTAGGGTTGACTAATGTACTTCACAGAAAACCAGCCCCCGGCAGCAGTCACAGCATAGGGTGCTAGACCCCAAGAAGATCAGCCACACGGATCAGCTCTGCTCAAGACTGAGGGCAATGAAGGGAACGTTCTCTGAGGGAAGCAGAAAAGCACTGTTAGGGCTGGAAACCTAGGCTGTTTGCAGGTGCCCATCTGGAATACTATCAGAAGCCAGTGACTCCCATTCACTGTCAGCCTGCTAGCTTAAATCCCTCATGGGCCTTTCCCCCTAAGCCCAGTCCACTTGCCCTCTTCTCCAAACTAGTGTGGATCCCTTTCACCCTTATGGTCGGTTTGTGTCCAAGGTGCTTGTACTCAAAAGCAGTGAAGCTGCTGCAGCAGAAGTAGGAGGGGCTGGCCAGTGGCAATCCCCCAGAAGAGCTTCAAAGTCAGCCCTTCCTTAGGAGCATGGGTACTTCCTGGCTGTGATTTGTCTTCCATCTTCCTTTTAGGTTGTCTAGCGTCCTGGTACAATGCGAGCCATTTTGTTTTGACTACATCATGCCTGACATTCATTGCTGGCATTGGCCAGCGATCAGTGCTCTCAGAGGGCTTCAGGGTGCCCCGGAAAGCCAGACCAGGGCTCACCAAGAGCACACCAACTTCTCACTAAATCTCATGCCTTTGAGAAACGTTCGATTCTGGTTCTAAGGATTAGGAGTCTATGGTGGGGGAGGAGGGAGACCAGTAGTAGATATTAAATGCTAAGGGACAGCTGTTGTTCCTCCTCGTCTCCCAGGGAAACTGAACTTCTGCACATACCTCAATGCCCACATGGTCCCTCTTCCACACCACTTCCTTACTCAGTGCGCACCTCTGCAACTGTACCCATCACCCTGTGTTGGAAATGTCTGCTTACGTGTCAACTTCGCCCACTGGATTGTAAACTCCCGGGAGGAAGGGACCATGGCTTAATCATTTCCCCAGCACCTGGGCCAGGTTCAGGGCTCTGACTGGCTTACTGAGCCTTCCTCCATCTCCCAGGCTGAGCCGGCCACCCACTCTGCTCTAGTACTTTCCATACTGTGCACACTTCTGGTAGAGTGGTTAGCACGTTATTGGGATAGGGTTTATGTCTTTTATACCGCCATATCCCCAGAACCTAGCCTGAGACAGGTGGTTGGTAAATATTTGTAGTGGGAGATACTACTGAATAGTCAATGCGGCTATTCGTCAATGGTCAATGGGACCAGATGATGGAAGACCTCATAGCTCAGGTCAGTGCAGGTTTTCGGTATAGGGAGTGATCTGATAAAAAGCAGAGTTTAAGCAAAATTCCTTTAGTCAGCCAGAGGCCAGAAGCCTGCATTTGTGTGGAGAGAGGGGAAGGAAGTGCAAACAGCTAGGAGCTGTTAAGGTGAGAAGGGCCAGGAGCCTGACAAGGCTGTGCTCCACACTGAATAGACCCTGGTGGATGCGGACACCACTTATGTCAGCTGTGTGGTGTTGGGCAAGTCACTGAACCCCCCTGAGCCCCAGTCTCTCACCTGCAACACAGAACTAATACCTCCCATGGTTGTAAGGAGTAAGTGAGGGGAGGATTAAAGCACCCAGTATGCTGCCTGGCACACCACGCTTATGACCTTTCCTTCTCCCTCATCTCTCCCAGTGGCACCCCAGGTACCTAAGATTTTAGGAACACTTGCCTAGTTCTTTGATATCAAGCTCCCATTGTCCCCTGGTCATTTAACCTCAACCTTGTAGGCCCAGACTCTGAGACTGGTCTTCATGCTCATCAGGAAGAAATAAAACAGCCGTGACTCATTTCCTACGCACTTTGCACAAAGGCAGTCTGAATGATACCCTGGTCCCAGGCATAGTGCATGGCCACGTCTTTAAGTCTAGCCTTGGAGTATGAGGTGGGGTCCCAGTCTACCTGATCCCCTGCTAACTTCTCTAGTGTACCAGTCTGCTTTTCTCAACTTCATCCTCAGGTCATTATCCCTAAATTTATTCCACCTTCCTGTTAAAGCCTCCCCCCATTGCTTGAAGCCAGTCAGCCCCTGGTGCTGAACCCCAACCTCATAAAAGACACCCACCAGTCCTTGGTGGCCTAGCTCAAATGCCACCTCTTTCATGAAGTCTTCCCTGATTTCACATCAGATGAGATGGGATGCCTCCTGCTCTTAACTCCCCACCAGGACTTTGTTTATATATCTCTCTCTCACAGCACTAGTCAGAGCCTATCATGTGTGATAAAAACCTGCACACTTGTCTAAGATGCTAAGCTAAGGATGCCAGGGATGGAGGGCTTCAGCCCCTCATCAGCAACCCTACAGCCAAGAGCATTAACTCGGTAAGTTCTCTAGAACCTTCTTTGTATGCATTCAAGCCCTTCTGCCTCGGGGCTCCTATGGGTGCTGGTACTTTTCACCTCCACCTGCCACCCTGGCTGGACTCTGTATGTCCTGCCACTTGATTGTCTGTGGTCGGGCCCACCCTCACCTTCAATTCTGCTTCATGGAGATGTGGCGATCCACCCATATGGACATGACTCTGCAATCAGACCTCTGCCTAGTCCCCCATTTGTGGCTCCATCAGTCCCCTACCAGCTCCGGTAGCCATTCATGAGTTGCCCTCCGACCTATCCAGGTGTAAATTTCTTGAGGGCAGAAACTAGTGTCCCCTTCTTCTTTGGCCCCTCACAGCACTAGTTCCATTGTAGGAACAAAATAAATGCTCCCTTTCTGTCTTGCTTAGCCAGTGGAAGTGCCAAGCACGTAATATTACTTCGGTCATGGCTCATATAAGATAGATTAGTTCTCATTTCTGGGAGGAGTTATTCGATTTGTGCATATGCCCCACACCTTTCTTAATTTTTCCAAACATGGTGGATCTTGTGGAAAGTATTACAAACAACACAGAAGCCCACCTGGACAAGCAGGAGGAGGTTTGTATCTGGTAAAGGGGATTTGAGCTTCAGGGCCTGCAGGAGCTCCAGAACAACACTACGAGACAAGTAGAATTTATCCCGCTCCTAAACAGAACAAAAGAGAAGAAGGTAAGCTATGTCTAAAAACTCGGTTAGAACAGATCTATGTCAAAAGAGCTTCCAAAAGATTCACAGGTTGGAAATGAAAACCAGTATTTGAAAATGCATAATGAACTGTCCTTAAGAAATAAAACTCAAACGAAAAAGAAAAAAATTTAAAGGGCATTTTTGTGTGCGTAATGAGTTTATAGAAGCACCGAGAACACATCATTCAATGGATAAAAAAAAGATAGGATATCTCTTAAATACTGAAACCACTGGATTGTGTTCCTGTTCACAGGAAATGGTAAGTTCCGAGAAATGCAGAAATTAAACAAATCGAAAAGCATTATTTCCAAAAGAAAATGATTTAGAGAAAAATATATACAGCTATTTTCAGGGTCTCGTATCCTCTCTAAAGAACCCACTTTTCAAATGTGCTGCTTAAGCACACAAAAAAATAGAGAGATGGAGTATATTATGTACTACCCCCATCTTTGTCAAATCGCAACATGTTGCTTTATTTAACATTTTTCACAATAAATAAAACATCCCAGAGGGGCGCCTGGGTGGCTCAGCTGGCTAAGCGTCTGGTTTCCACTCAGGTCATGATCTCAGGGTCGTGAGACCAAGCCTCACATCAGGCTCCACACTTTGGAGCCTGCTTAAGGTTCTCTCCCTCCCTCTCCTTCTGCCCCTCCCCCTACAACTCATGTGCTTGCTATCTCAAAAAAAAAAAAAAATCACAGAAACAGTTGCAACTACCTATATGGTGCTCTCTTTTCTTTCTCCCTTCCTTGAAGTAGCCACTATTCTGAATCTGGTGCTTATGTTTTTACTACATATGCATGCCTTCATTACAAGGTATAATATTATTTTTGCATGTCTTTGTAACTTTCTATTACAGTATCATACTGTGCATCTTTCTGCAACTTATAATTTCTCACTACATTATATTTTTGAAATTAGTCCCTATTGATACATGTAGCTCTAGTTCTTTCAACTAAACGGCTTAATTATATTTTATTATATGAACACACCGGAATTCATTGATCTGTTCTCCTGTTAATAGAACATGAGATCATTTTCAATTTTGTAAGTTTTTTTTTATTGCCAACTTCAACACACATGCAGAAAAGTACATAAGACACAAATGTGCAGATAAAATGGATTCGTATAGTCTGAACGCCAAGGTCAAAGAGCAAGCACATCGCAAGCACCTCAGAAGCCCGCTGTATGCCCTTTCCTGATGATAACCAAGTAACCGGATCTACTTTCTTTTCTTTCTCCTCATTTTTACTCATGGTATACTGCCCTTTTCTATGTCCAATGATCTTTGCATGTGGAAAGTTTTATTAAAAGATTATTTCTAGAAATCATTCGAGGCCTGAAATGTTCTCTTCATCCAAAGAGCTCTGTTTGCTTTTTGCCAGGTTCCTGGAAGCACTAGCCTGGTCCAGGGTTACCTTAATAAACACACAAGCCGTGTAATATCTAATCTTGGGCCACCAGAGGGTGTGACACTGAGCTCAACTGGTGTGAGGACATTTCATCTCTGGGTTATCTTTACTTTGTGGTCCTGTGCAGAATCAGACCGAGTGTCTGCTATTGAAAGGTCCTGGATTCTGACTCTTGTTCCCTTCCTGGATCTTCCAGAATTGCAACTCAGCCTCTCAGTCACACCTCTGCACTTCTGTGCTCTCCCAGATCTTAGCCTGGTGATTCATCTGTATCTGGTTAGCATTTTGATGCACTGAAGTTTTCAGAAAATATTCTGTTCGCTTCTTTTTTAACTTTTTAAGTGGGAAGATAGGTTCAAATGATCTAGCCCATTATTATCAGGAGAGAAGTCTAAAATTTTTATTAAAATTACACTAAATTTATAGGTTATTTTGTGAGAATTAACTGTCTTTATTATGCTGGATCCTCATCCACGAACATGAGATCTGTCTCCATTTATTTAACATTGTCGAATAAAACTTTCTGGTTATCTCCATAAAGTTCTTGCACATTTCTGTTAGATTTATTCTTTGTTGACACAATAAATGACATTTTTAAATACATTTAAAGTACATTTTGTAATCATTTTAGCCAAATATTAAAGGTGGAAGATTCCTGGGTATTCATTTGTAACCAGCATCCTTGCTGAGCTCTCTCACAACAGTTATAAAAAGATGTCTACAAGTATATTTTCTTCAGTTCATTTGTAATTACATCGTCTATGGAAAGTGAGAGTTTTATTTTTCCTTTCCAATCCTTATACATTTGATTTCTTCTTCCTATCTTACTGAATTGAGGAGGACCTACACCTGGACCATAATGAACAGAAGCAGTGATAATGGGCATTCCTGTCTTACTTAGTATTTTGAAGGGACAACATTGGCATTTCACCAGTAAGTATAACATTTCCCAGAGGTTTCTGGTAGGCACCCTATAACAAGCTAAGTAAGTTCCCTGCTATTCCTAGTTTGACAAGAGTTATCACAAATGGATGTTGAGTTATATAGAATGCTTCTTTTGTATCTGAGATAATGATATACATTTTTCACCTTTAATCTGGTAACATGGTGACATAAATCCATGTTCTAATATTTAAACCATTCTTATATTTCAAGCAAATCCTCACTGGGCCATGAGGCTTTATTTTTTTAACACATTAATTTGCTATTATTCATCCTGAATATTTATACCTTTGGAGTAGAATTGGCCTGTAATCTTCCTTTCTCCCACTGCCCTGTCTGGTTGGGATCAAGATTCTACTGGCCTCATAAAAGATGTTGGAAGCTCTCCCTTCTTTAGAGTCTCTATTAGTTTGCACAAAGTAGAGCTCACTCTGTTCCTTCAGTGTTTAATAGAAGTCGTCTTTAAAACTGGAACAGTTACTCATTAGTGATTCCATTTTTTTAATCATTTAGGCCTAGCCATCTTTTTTTCCTAGTTGTCGTATGTTACATTTTTCTAGAAAATTGTCCTATTGTCCAAGATTTCAAATATACTAGCATAGAGTTGTTCCTTTCAAAATCTCTAATATGTCTAGAGTTACATTCTCTTTTTCATTGCTGATATTCTTTATCTGGGCCTTTTCTCTGCTTCCCTTGATCAGTCTTGCCAAAGTTTTGTCTATTTTATTAGTCTAACCCAAGAGCCCCCTTCTGATTGTACTGATCCTCCACTGTAGCTATGTTTTCCATTTCATTAATTCTTGTTCTTATCTTTATTATTTCCTTCTTTTAAATCATCTTATGGTTACTCTGTTATGCTTATTTTAACTTGACTTGTTAGCTCATTTCATTTCCCTTTTTTCCCAACAGAAGTATTTAAGACTATACATTTTCTTCTAAGTATCTCTGTGGCTATAGATCTCAAATTTTAGAATGTAGTATTTTCATACTTGTGTAGTTGTAAATATTTTTCCAAATTCTCTTATCTCCTTTGATGTATGAATCATTTAAAAGTATATTTCAAATTTCCAAATACAGCAGGTCCCAGACACTATTAATCCATTAGTACCTTTGTATGAATTTGAAAAAGGATACATACATACATATTAACACATACCTGCAAACCTGAAAAATGGTGTGCATTTCCAGAGCCCTGCACTCAGTATGTCTGGCTGCATATGTGCATATGCCTTGTCACTCACTCACACACACCCTCGGCACCATGCAGGTACACATTCTACACACACCCCACCCCTGTAAAGGGACCGGGTCAGAGTCAGAATCTGGCAGGGAGCCAGGACTTAAACATCTGACAAGAGCAGGCAGTCCCCTGGGGTGGTAGCTGGGACAGGGCCTAGCTGCCTACACGTGTGTGCGCCAGAAATGTGTGCACGTATGCTGTTCCCTGTGTGTCGAAGGCCCTTTGAGCTTTATGTACGGGGTACCTATCCCAGCTGTTCTAGGACTTAACCAGGAGGCCCCAAATCTCTACACCTGCCTCAATACGCACATAAAATGTAGTATGTCTAAGATGTAAGTGGCGTCCCCTTAGATGTGGAGACTTCTTTAGGCCACCCTTGAACACCTATATGTGGTTATGATTTTGTTATTGATTTATAATTTAACTGCATTGTGATTAAAGAACTTGGTCTCTTTGAAACAGATTCCCCAGTGTGTGTTAAGAATTTATTTGTGGACTGGGGCGCCTGGGTGGCTCAGTGGGTTGAGCGTCCGACTCTCGATTTCAGCTCAGGTCTTGATCTCAGGGTCATGAGTTGAAGTCCCGCGTTGGGCTCCACACTTGGTGTGGAGCCTACTTAAAAAAATAAAATAAAATAAAATAAAATAAAATAAAATAAATTAAAATTAAACAAAATAAAAGACTTTATTTGTGGTCTATTACCTGTCCTATGTTTACAAATGTTATGTATATGCTTTTTCTTTTCTTTTTTTTAAAGATTTTATTTATTTATTTGACAGAGAGAGACATAGCAAGAGAGTGAACACAAGCAGGGGAACTGGTAGAGGGAGAAGCAAGCTTCCCGCAGAGCAGGGAGCCCGATGTGGGGCTTGATCCCAGGACCCTGGGATCCTGACCTGAGCCAAAGGCAGATGCTTAACGACTAAGCCACCCAGGCACCCCTGCTTTTTCTAAAATACATTCTCAAATTGGTGGATTCAAGGTTCTTTATATGTCTATTGGATTCAATTTGCTCATTATATTGTTCAAATCTAGTAAGTCTTATTCATTTTTAATCTGCTTGATCTATTAATTACTGAAAGAGAGGTGTCAAAATCTCCCATTATGAGTATGAATTTGGCAACTTCTCTTTGTAATTCTATTCATTTTTGGTTTACATGTATTAAGGCTGTATTATTAACTGCACAAGTTTTAGAACTGTCACATTTTCCTAGTGAATTGTTCCTTTTATCAATACAGGGCAACCTTCTTTATAATCATACGTTTTAACTTAAATTTCGTTTACTGGTTTCAGCTTTATTTTAATTAGTATTTCCTGGTATATTTTTAAACTATTTTTCTTTCACACTTTCAACAGTGTCTTTAGATGTGTTTTAGATATATCTCTTATAAATAACACATAGCTGGATTTTAAAAATCAAATCCAAAAATTGCTGGGGTGTCTGAATGGCTCAGTCGGTTAAGCCTCTGACTCTTGGTGTCAGCTCAGGTTGTGATCTCAGTGTCTTGAGATTGAGCCCTGAGACGGGCTCTGTGCTCAGCTTGGGATCTGCTTAAGACTCTCTCCCTCTGCCCCTCTCTCCCTGCCTCTCTCTCTCTCTAAAATAATCTTTTTTAAAAATCCAAAAATTCCTTATATTCATTATGATTATTGGAATATTGGATTCATTTTTTTTAAGATTTATATAGTATGTTGAATGCTTTAACTCTAAACCCCAACTACACATAGTCCTCTCATCTTGTAGTTATTCAGTATTTTAGTGTGATCTTGTTTGTGTATCCACTCAGTCATTATTTTAATTATTACGGCTTTATACTGTCAATGATCACTTAGAGTTCTCTACCTGACCAATTTCTTGGAGCATCAGTCCTTCATACATTTCACTCCTTCTTGGTTCAATTTTGTTCTTATTGTAATATATCTTTTAGTACTTGTTTCTGTTGAGAATATATTAGAAAATTTCTTATTTTCCTAATAGTTGATTTATTTAGCCATCACTCTTATTTTTTTTAAGATTTATTTATTTATTTATTTGAGAGAGAGAAGTAGAGAGAGAGAGAACAGGAACAGGGAGGGGGCAGACTCTCCGCCGAGCAGGGAGCCTGATGCGGGGCTCGATCCCAGGACCCCGGGATCATGACCTGAGCCGAAGGCAGACGCTTAACGACTGAGCCACCCAGGAGCCCCTAATATTGGAAATTCTTATGGGGAATAATCTTGCTGCTTTTGGACTCTGCTGCTGTACCTCATGGTGGATTATTTCTTTACATGCTTTGTAATTTTAGTTTGTAAACTCATGTTCATCAGGATTGTAATTCTGGAAATTCTGTTGGGCCTAGATTGAAGTCCTACCCATCCAGAGAGGTTTGAGGATTGATCTTGAGCTTATTTCTACCAAACACTCCAATGCTATTACCTGCTCTCTATCAATGTTACTTGACTTTTCATTCTGGGGACTCACAGAGCATGTAGGTATTTTAAATGCACACTCCAAATATGTTCAAAGATAGGCTCATGTTTACTAATTCTCAAGGGAAACTATAACTCTTTCTCAGTTCCTAGGCTCAGATCGCATTCTTTTTCACCTCTATATAAGAATATATTCTTTCCAAATCACCCTTTTACTAAATGTATAGGTTTTCAATGGTTCTGACTTTCTGCTAGGGATGACTCAGAGCCAATTCCAAGCCTGAAACAGTCCCAAGACCTTCTCTGTGTGGGATTTAAAACACAAGTCACTAATGACAAATGGTACAGCCACTGTGGAAAAGAGTATGGAGCTTCCTCTAAAAATTAAAAACATAAATACCATATGATCCAGTAATTCCACTACTGTGTATTTACCCAAAGAAAATGAAAACATTAATTCAAAAAGATATATGTACCCTTATATTTACTGCAGTATTATCTACACTAGGCAAGTGTCCACTGATAGATAAGTGGATAAAGAAGATGTGTACACACACACACACACACACACACACACACACAGGAATATTACTTAGCCATGAAAAAGAATGAACTCTTGCCATTTGAGACAACACAGATAGACCTATAGAGTATTAGGCTAAGTGAAATATGTCAGACAGAAAGAAAGGGCCACATAATTTCTCTTATATGTGGAATATGAAAAACAAAACAATCAAAAAACAGACTCTTAAATACAGAGAACAAACTGGTGGTTGCCAGAGGGGAAAAGGGTGAGGGGATGCATGAAACAGATAAAGGGGATTAAAAGATACAAACTTCCAGTTATAAAAATAAATAATTCATGGAGATGAAAAGTACAGTATTGGGAATATAGTCAATAATAGTAATAATGTTGTATGATGACAGATACATTTATTGTGGTGAGCATTAAGTAATCTATCGAAGTATTGAATCAATACAGTGTATACCTGAAATTAACATAACATTGTATGTTGACTATACATCAACTAAAAATAAATAAATAAAATAAAATAAAATTAGATATATGCAAATCTAAAAAACAAAACTCGAGCCACTAAGCTCCTAAGACAAGTAACTCCCCTACCTCAGGACTGCTACAACAATATCAGCTTATATGCTTACCACTCTGGTTCTCAATTTCTTCTCCAATTTTGCCCCTTTCATTTTTACAAAATTACCTAAACATTTAAAATCACGTTCATTACACTTTGTCCAGCACTTCTATTGTTTTAAGTGGGACAATTTTCAATTATCTAGACTGCCAGATTGCCAGGAAGATAAGTCTCCAAAGCCCTTACCTTTCCATGCCTTTTCTCTTGACTAAATAAGGGAGAAGTTTCAATAAGACAGTGCTCTTTCTTAAACTATTTCCAATAGCTTCCCATTACCCATGAAGAAAGTGGGAACACCCTAAGACTGAAGCTTTCCACAAGAAATAGTCATGTTGAGTTGGACAACTGGGAATGGGTACATGACAACAGGAAGTGGGAAGCCACTAAAGTGATGATTGGTTAGGAGGGCATTTAATGTATAATGAATGTTCAAAACTAGGAATATCCCGACTTCAAAATAATGGAAGGTCCTCTGTAATCAATCTCTATAGTGCACAGCATTGAAAGCACAAACTCATTATGCTTCCTCCTCTTAAAAAATGTATAATTTAAACAAACCAAGCATAAAGAAAATTAAGAAATAAAATGACTTCTTTTCATTGTATTCACATATCTTTTCATTGTCTCTGATACTGTGCCCTACCAGAGGCTCTATTGTTTTAAGTGACCAAAAAAAAAAAAAAAAAGAGTTAAGTTATTTTTCAGGAAGGATTTGAAAGAAGAAAAAAATGCTGATTATTTGGATAGTTAGAAAACATATTGTTCCAGGCAGAGTAATAGTTTATAATCAAGAAGACTAAAGAGAAGATTCTCATGGAACACTTAACATGGTAGAATGGACACAAGATGGTACGAAAAAAGACAAGAGTATTTTAAATAGAATGAAAGCCTTGATATAAAATTAGACTTTTTTAAATAGGGAAAATAAAAGGCTTATAGAAATGGACAACATGAATAAAGGAATATTCTGAATGTTCAAGAAGGAACAACAGAAACAGACCCCATTGAAAATAAACTTGGAACATTTGGAAATTGGAAGAGTTAACATTGCACATTGTTCTTAAAGACAGAGACGCTCCCAGTTGGCCCTGCCTTTCCATTAGAATGGCGTCTCCCAGCTCCAACGAGGCTGCTGTGTGCCCCGGGCAAGCAGTACTTTTCCACTTCCTCGGTAGTGGGCCAGGGGAGACTAAAGACAATGCAATACAGAAACCATTTTGAGGGCAAGATGACAAAAGATGAGATTACAATCTCAGAGGACAAGAACCCAGAACTGGGGAGATAGACAAGTGATGAGAATTAAGGAGCACTCTACGGGATTTTACAAATGACAAGCTGATATTTTTTTTTAATTTTATTTTTTATTTATTTGAGAGACAGAGAGAATGAGAGACAGAGAGCATGAGAGGGAAGAGGGTGAGAGGGAGAAGCAGACCCCCCGCCGAGCAGGGAGCCCGATGCGGGACTCGATCCCGGGACTCCAGGATCATGACCTGAGCCGAAGGCAGCCGCCCAACCAACTGAGCCACCCAGGCACCCCAAGCTGATATTTTTCTACTTTGGGTATAAAAACGACATGCTGTGATGGCTTGCCCACTAATCACGGGATGGTGAACTTGAAAAAGACCTTAAGAGGTCATTTAGACCACTGGCTCATTTCATTTACAATATCTCTTCTCTTCTAAATCATATGACCCTCATTTCTCCAAATGTGTATATTTAAGATACAGTTTATATATATATATATATTTGCATAAAGTGTTTCCTTCCAATGATACTTATTTGACCTCAGTAGAACTGCTCATGTTTAACTATACTGAAGCAACTAACCTAACAAGCATCGACACGGGTTAGAAAGAATGTTCCTGCCAGTTTTCAGTTTCCTGGGAACAAACACAGAAGGCAAACTTACCTTCGTGAAAGCTCGGTAACACAGACCACACACCTCCACCAGGTAGGCCAGGGTAAAGACAGCATTCTGAATTACAAAGCTGAGCAGTTTTGAAAATGGCTCCAACAGACTCTGCAATGAGATTGGGACCAAATAAAATCAATTGCTGATTCTTTCATTAAAAAAGAAAAAGTCGTAAAGTCTTCTGATACTTTAACTAATGGGATCCTTCCTTTATTTAAAATCTAGTGCCAGGTGGCTACTAGAGCAACTATGTTGGTCTAACAAAAGCAGAACTGGACCTTCAATGAATGCCTTAAAGGGCATGATTTAATCATCTTACTGCTCCAAAAAAAATCCATTTTTCCAAGTGGCATCATTTATAAACCTTATCAACTCCGATCCTGTCCTCATACCCACTCCCAGGAATCAAGGCTCTATGAGGTTTGGATGAGGATTTTCCATTCTTTTTCTCAGAATCTGTAGGCATCTATGGGCTCATCCATCCCGCTCCTTTGAAACCTGACATCTCAGTTAAATAGCACAAACCACCCTGCATGTAAGTACAAAGCACTATTAGCTTAGATAAAAACTCATCATGACCCAGCTTCCTGACAGTGTTTATCAGGAAGGCACAGTTTTGGTTTCTCCATCTGCATCCCACCCATAAAGGGTCAGTTTTAGATCCATCTGCTCTCTGAAGTCATTTAGAAACATTTATTGAGCACCTACTAAGTATTAGGCAGAGTTGGGTGCTTTTATAAAGTTTATCTTGTTCAAATTTCTTATAACAATCCTGGAGAGACAGTGTGTTATAATAGTTAATGACACAAGCTATAGAGTCTCACACAATTATTTTCAGAACTCTAGCACTCTGTGACCTGGAATAAATGATTTAACCTTCCTGGAGGTAAAATAGGGATAATCAGGGCCTCCACCTCATTGGTGTTGCTATGAGAAATTGGGGAGGTAATGTAGGTAAAGGGCTTGGCAGCAGTGAGCCCTAGGTCACTGTTCGCTGTGACCTGCTTCAGAACTCTGGAGCTCTGGTGTCACTATTCTGCAGCTGAGGCTTAAGCAGGCAAGGAGCTTGCCTAAGGCCATACAGCTATTGAATGGAATTCAAGTCCAAATTCCAGGGCAATTTTCCAGAGGCAAAGCTGCTCTTTAGGGAAAACAGAATTCTAATTGGGCTCCAAAAGATTTCCACACCATGATTCCACTACTTCTCAACGTCCGTAGTCCTAATGGTCTGGATTATAAAAGCAAACATGCTCAATGTGCAAAGGTAGGATCTGCAGGAAAGTACAGAGGAGGAAATAAAAGTCCATCATCCCATCACCTCGTGATAACATTTTACATATCTCCCTTCCTGCTGCACTCCAGTTTACTTGGTTGAAATCTTACACATACACAATCCTATATTTTGTTAATTTCATTTTGTTACCACAATAACATAAGAAATTTCCAATGCTATTTAATTCTTCATAATCATCCATTTTTATGGCCAAAATGTCACATCTTATTATAAATAACATCCCAATAAATGTTTTGTGTGAAATTTACATTCTCATTTTCTTCTTTAGAAGAGATCCCGGAAAAGGAATGATTCAATCAAAGGATATGAAAATTTTTGAGATCCTTTCTCCTTATTGATACAAAAATAAATCTGTTACATGTTAGTTGCACCTGAGGATAAGAATTCTGTTCTTTATTTGTTTCTATTCCCCACAGAAACCTGTGTAGTGCTTTCCATATAGAAAATCTTAAAGGAACCCTTTGAAATAGTACTGCTGATTCGGTATTTGCTCTATATAAACGTTGTTGACTTGAAATACTGATGATGGATGAATGGTGACAGGACTATAGCTCTAGTTGATACATAATGCATCTTTCTTCATCAAAAAAAGGAACCTGAATTCAAACCTATATAGAAACTTGTTTTTTTACCCAGCAAAGCAGCACAGAGATGGGGCAATAAGGCACAACAGAAAAATCAAGGAACTTGGAATCAAAGGATCTAGGTTCAAGTCTCAAACCTTCCACTAACCAGCTATGTAACCTTGGCCAAGACAATTCATTCATCTCTCTGAGCCTGTTTCCTTAGCTTTAAATGATCAGATTCGACCAAATGATCTCTTTGCAACTTTCCTGCATAAACTAGTAGTTTATGAAAGCACAGTCAAGGTATAAAGTTACCGGGTATGTGGCTTCTTGGTATTTAACTAGTAGTTATAAGCCATTGCTATACAAACTATTGCATCATTGTATATAATGCAGCCCAGGAATACAAAGGTAAATGAGACACAGTGCTGGACTTCATGAAGCTCACAGTCTCACTGGGGAGACTTTCATACAATTTAAGTGTTACTACAGAGAGCTCTATCAAGTTTTGTGGGATCTGATATAGGAGAAAGTTGCTACAGAGAATCCCAATTCACTTTTTTAATTTAAATGGGATTCAGATTCTCATCTTGAAGAATGAGAAGTTCACCTCACCAACAGGAGCATAAAGCATTTCAGGCAGAGGAAATGGCCGAAGCCAAGGCAAGGAAGTATGAAATTAGATAAGATTATAAACATAAAGCAGTTAGCATAATGCCTGCCATATGGTAAGTGCTCAACAAACAGTGGTTGTTGTTTTGAGGATAATAATGATGATTCTGGAAGTAGGCAGGAGGCATGGGGGATGGGACAAGTAGCCAAAGCCGAAATTAGAAAGATAGGCCGGCAAATTAATGAAGTACCTTCTTGTGTGCCACATTAAGGAATGTGGACACTCTCCTAAAAGAAATGAGAGGTGATCAAAGATATTTAAGTAAGGAACCAGGGCAGTAAGGTCTGTGTTTGGAGGGATCACCTAGCTCATAGTGTAGAGGACGGACTGGCCATGCCCAGGACAAAGAGGGCCAATCGTAAACAATGATTTTGTGATGTATTAGAACTCTTCACACTAGAAACTTTCACCGCGTTTGAAAGTGAAACATTCAGTACGCAATTAACTATTTCTTCAGTATTACTACATGCCTGTCTTTTTAGATTACAAAATAACCGAATAACCAATGGGTTGTTTTTCTGGAACATACAATACATACCCTTGTGGCATTGGTAGAGGGTATCTTCAAGAGGCAAATCATGATTCTCAAACTGGAATCTAAAGAACACTGTGAACAAATATGAAAAAAATAAACATCAGTACCCTTCTTAATATATCTTTTGCTTCATGTATTTTTTATAAGTGTTTATTTTTGGGGGAAAAAAATCTCAAATATAGCTGCCTCCTTAGTTTTCTATGCCATATATTCATGTTGAAAAAATCATTCTCAGGTGTAAAAAACTTAAACTATTAATTAAATAATATTAAACAACTAAATAGTTAAGCACAGCTCCTCAACTATTTCTCAGATATATTCTTAAAATTAAATCAGACAGAGAGTTGGATAAAGAATTGAATGGATGGATGCATGGATGATGGATGGATGGATGGATGATGGATAGATGGATGAATGGACAGACAGACTGACAGATAGATGGGGAGGTAGATATCAAATGTGTTCAACTCTAAAGAGGTACACTAATTTGTCAAAGGCCATGTTGGGAAAAAAACAAAACAAAACAAAACTACTCAGATCTATTTAAAACCATTAGGCTTATTAGTCCAAAAAAGAACCAGTTTCGTCTGCCCTGCCTTTGCTACTGAAAGACATGACAAAAACCTGTGAAAAAGCAGTAAAATTTCTACAAGAAAAAAAGTATGCCTCCCAAATCTGTTAGAGTTGTATTTTGGCAAGATTCTACATCAAATGTACTTTTTAAATTGAATTTACTGGTGGGGGGGATGTTACAACAAAAATAAGCAATATTATTTAACATTGTAAACATATCACAATAGTAGGTTATAGTTCAATCCCTGCAGCTGTGTACCGTACTAACTTTTGAAGATAACAAATTAAGCCAGTGGTCCTCCAAGTAGAACCCCTGAACCGGCACGTTGAATTACTTAGAAATTTGTCAGAATGCAAATCCTCAGGCTGTACCTCCAATGAATCAGAAACTCTCAGTATCAGGCCCAAAAATCTGCTTTTAGCAAGTCCTGCAGGAACAATGATCTACCCTGAAGTCTGAGAGCCACTTCTCTAAACTGATGAGAACAAACTACAGAAGGTTTTTCAACGGCTTAATGTTTTCCCCAGATAGTAAAAACAAAGCAGAAGATGATCAGAGGCAGTGCCCAGACCTGATCTAGCAGGGCAAGCTTTTACATAAATTCTGAAAGCATTTTACAGGTACCTTCTAAGAGAACTATTGGTCTGTTTAATCTGCTCAATACCCACCGGAGTTCATGTGACATTTACATTACTTTAAACCAGGGGCTGAAGACTGGTTGTTTGTCAGGTCCCCATGGTGTTTTAAAAATATCATCTTCAAAACCACGGGAAGACCAACAATAGTAGGCCTGCATTCCCACACAATTGGCCAGTGTGCTGTAGGAGCTGGAGTCGTTAGAAGGGAGTGGTGCTTTCCATTTCTCAAGAGTCTCTGTTCTCTCTATTATCTTAAATCACTCCACTCATTAACCTTACAGTCAGGGTCCATACGAGCAGGGCTGATTGTCACAAATCAGGCTTACCAGTTGTTTGCAGGTAGCAAGAGTTCCAACTGGTCAGTGATCAAGTTAAATATTTTGCTTCTAGCATCCATTTACAAGCATTTGAATTTGCCATGCCTGAGCCACCCCTTCTCTTTAAATGTATGGTGTTAAGCAATGAATAGCCCTGAATGGGGAGGTTCTATGGGGCCATGTTAAAATGCATCACTTGATTTCCTACATGTGCATGTACAGTATCTATATACAGACATGGTTTCCAAGTACAATGCTAAACCTCTTTGGATTTATTCAGTGACTCCAGATTTTTGAGCAGACAGGATCGTGGGATATAAGAGATGGTAAAGATCTCAGTATTCCCGCTTTTTGTGGCAACTTCAAACTCCAAGGAAACAGAATACACTAAGCTAAGGGTCCCTGAATTATCCTTACAGACCTCATTTTGGGGTCATATATTCCAAATCTGCTAATTTGAAAAAGGGCATTATCAGGGGTGGTTCGTCTTTATACAACATTTTTCATACATGTAATACTCATTTCAGAAACGGTGCTGCCAACATGTAACTTCACTTGTCAGATAACAAGTGATTGGTTTTCTTGTGAGTTGAATATTTCTGCAATTTGCATAAAGCACAAAAAGCTTGTGAAGCAAATGACGTTCAGAGAAATAGAAATGGCCACTACCAGCCACCTCCTTTCTGCCTACTACTAGACTGAATGCCTTCAATTCACCCCTGCTTTAGAAGGACTGTAGGAGTCCGTTAGTGGAAAAGATACTGGACCAGGAGTCTAGAGACTGGAGTTCTAATCCTCACACCGCCATCACCTCTCTGAATTTGCTGTCTGCCATCTGGAAAATGGGGGCATTGGAAAGGGATGGTTTTTATAGGTCTCTTCCAGCTTTTACAGTATAGAGTTCTGCTTCTGCATTTAATGGGCTTGTGTTGAAAATGTTCCTTAGGTCACCAGATTCACAGCTAGGTAATTTGTGTGTATTCTTGGAGGATAGTATGGTGGATACAGGGAGGGGGCGGTGGTGGTGATGGCAAAGCAGCCAAACAGAAATATAATATCATCTTGGTTTTGCAAATACTTTATTCACAAACATATAAACAATCACTTCCCTTTAGATAGTTCTCTGAAACTTAGCTTTACAGTGTATATCTAGTCTCCTTTTAGACAAAACTATGTATTTATCTACTTACACATTTACTGAGAAAAAATTCTGTATAAACATAATCTAGTATCTTTCTAATTTTTAAAAATCAACTGGAAACGGGAAATCACTATGTCAAAATACCTACTGCATACTGCCCTAAGTTTGTAACATTTGGAGAGCACAACCTACATTATACTCTGCACTTGGTGCCTAACAGAGATTCTGTACAGCCTTTTATTAAACATTATATCTAAGCAGATGGTTGGCAAACCGTAAGATCGTAATTGAAAAGGAAATCCTGGACTTACCTTCAGAGGCAAAACACAAGGCAGCTTGGCAAAAAATGTCTGAAACTGGTTGCTGATTGTGGTCCAAAGGCTGCTAGGAGAATCCATGGGCAAAGCTTCCATGAAGGTAGCAATGTTTTCCAAACAGCGTATCATAGCACCCCCTGCTGGTAAATTCTTTTTGTTATTTAGACCCTAAAAACACAAAAGCATAGGCAATCAACTGCTGAAACAACGTGGGGATTCAGACAGCTATTTGTCGAAGATCAGTTTTAAAAAATCACATATTTACGGTTTAAACATGTGTTGTGTGCCTACTATATAGGTCATTCATTGTAATTGGCAGGAAGAGTACAAAGAATCAACAAATTCAGACAAACCTGGGAAAAATTGAGACCTTTAATTCAGTAAGAGAAGGTAAAATGTGAGCAAGAAATAAGAAACATCTTTTAAGGATCTGCAGTGAGCATCGTTAGGTGCTAAGAAAACACAACGAATGATGTTTGCTGTAAACTCCGCTGGCCAAAGCCTGAGCATAACGGCTACAGAAGCAGGAAAGTCTCTAGGGCCACCTGCCAACCCTCCAAGCTAACTGAGAGAGCTAATAAGCAGGGGACCGAACACAAAAACTCAGCCGTTGTGATAACAAAAACGAATGAATAAGCAATGGAGCCCAGAATTGAATTCAAGTCTCGCGATGGAGCAAAGATGCAGGACTTGAATCCAAACCTCGCGGTACAACAAATAAGCAGGGAAGCTGAGACTTGAATCCAAGTCTCGCGATACAGTGCGCACTGCTCTACCCACCGCACCTTCTGAAAGCCTGAATGCTCAAGAGGTGAGTGTGCTTAACAGTTGCCTATCCACCGCTGAGTTGAGGGTGTCCAGAAGCTTTAAATGAATAGTAAATCCACACAAAACAGCAATGTCCAACTGACATGCTTCCGTGCATTGGCAATTTTTATTTTTAATTAATTTTAAACATTTAAATTACTTAAGATGAATTTGACGTTTTTGTATTTAACATAAATTTAATTTTTAAATTAAATGGCTGAATTAATTCCTCAGCCGCGATTTCGGGAGGGGCGGGGCTTAGAGGTGTCATTAAAGCAAACCTACCTCCAGGAGCTGACTGAGAGCAGCAATAGAGCTCAGTTCATTGAAGTCCATCAGAGACGTGGCTAAGGTCCGTAAAAAAGTCCCATCTGGAAAGTCAACAATGAGATTTAGTAGTGTTTGGGTTTCGGCGACGAGGCACGTTTGTGGTGGCTGAATTCCCCGTGGAGGAATTACCTTTGATAGTGCTCTGGAACAGCTGCGGGAAGATGCCGTTGGGGGCCAGCTGATGGAAGATGCAGCGCAGGAACTGCTTGGCCACCCCCGCAGCGTTGCCAGGAACCATCATGCTGGGGTTGCACAGGGAGAGAAAAGACAGGGACTCATGGAGCACCCAGCATGAGTTTAGGTATTTCTGAACCTCCTTATTTAGAGGTCAGGCATTGACACATCAATCCTCTTATGGAAGGTCTCCCTGTCATTTTCATCAGTGAGATGAAATATTGTAGTTACGTGCAGTCCTTGTTAACAATAAGTTTCTAGAAAGAGAGAACCAGGACATGTCAGAGTGGTCCCAGACTAATGAATTCCAGCCACCCCCAGAGTACAGAAGAGGCTTCTGAGGCCCAGAAAGAAAAGGTGACCTGCAAAGGCTCCAAGTCAGGAACATGGCAGAGTCAGGACAAAACCCGGGATGAGATGATTATCAGCAAGACCCTCCCAGAAAGTGTCATTAGCTAAGAGAGAGCTGATCTGAGGGGAAATGCAGGGAGGGAGATGTTCATAGCTATTGGGAGATAGAACTTTCCTTGGAGCATCTTGAGCCGGTACTTGTAAAAAGGAGAGGGCTTTGATCTGTGCGGTTCTGCAGGACCTCTGCCCATCAAAAGAGGGAGCCAAGAGATGATTATGCCCCCTGAGACCAAAGTATCAGGAAGGACGTTCCCAGAGGTGATCAGGGGGTGAATTAACAGGAAGAAAGTAGAAATCAAAGAGCCCAAATAGGTAAGTGGTAAAAAGTCCCTCTCACCTAAGCCGTTTGATTATGCTATGTCTACCCTGAAATGCTGATTCAAACTTGGTCAAAAACACTCTTCATGCAGCAATGACACCAAACTCATCCAAATTCTTTCAAAAATTAGGGAAGGAAGGAACCCTGCCCACCTTATTTCATGAGGCTAACATAGCCCTAAAACTAACATCAGATAAAGTCATTACAAAAAAATAAACAAAACCAAAGCAAGAGGGAACAAAAAAGAAATGAAAACAAAAGCAAGACAAACCAGCAGTCCTCATGGACACTGAATCCAGCTATAGATAAAAAGGATGGTCTGTGACCAAATGGAGTTTATCCCAGTAACATAAGAAGGACTTAATATTCAAAATCCCATCAATGGAATTCAATATATTAAATAATAAAGGGAAAAACCATAGTTATTTCAATAGATACAGAAAACGCATCTGACAAATTTAACATCCGTTCATAATAAAAACTCTCAGCAAACTAGAAACAAAAGAAAACGTCCTCAATCCAGTAAAGAGCATCTATGAATATATAATTATTGGTGAGATACTAAAGACTTTTCTGTAAAAGCAAGAACAAGGCAAGGAGTCTCACTAACATCTTTATTATTGTACTGGAGGTCCTACTCATTGAAATATGACAATAAAAAAATAAAAGGCATAAAAACCAGAGAGAAGGGACACTGTCACTATTTACAGAAATGACTTTTTTTTTATATACGAATGCTTTTAGATCCTAAGAAATCTTTAAAAGCAACTACTACAACTAGTAGGTGAGCCCAGTTTATTACATTACAGGGTTAATATAGAAATTCAATTGCATATTTATATACCAGCAGCAAAAGTTGGAAAATGAATTTTTTTTAAATTCCACTTACATTGGCATTAAAACACCCAAAAATTCTTGGGAATAAATTTAACAAAAGATGTTCAAGACCTCTACACTAAAAGCCACAAAACGCTGCTGGGAGAAACAAAAAAGACTGAATGAAATTAGAATATATACCATATTCATGAATTGAAAGATTCAGTATTTTTATGCTGTCAGTTATCCTCAAATTGATTTATTGTCTCAGTACAATCCCAACAGGCTTTCCCCCCCACCCCAACTGAGAAGCTTATTCTAAAATGTATATGGAAATTTGGTAAATCTAGAATATCCAAATCAATCTTCTTGGAAAAAATGAGCAAAGTTGGAAGATTCATAATCTCAGACCTCAAGATTTATTATACAGCTACAGTAATCAAGACAGTGTGAGTAGGAAGGGAAAAATGAAGGGGGCGAAATCGGAGGGGGAGATGAACCAAGAGAGACTATGGACTCAGAAACAAACTGAGGGTTCTAGAGGGGAGGGAGGTGGGAGGATGGGTTAGCCCGGTGATGGGTATTAAGGAGGGCACGTACTGAATGGAGCACTGGGTGTTACACGCAAACAATGAATCACAGAACACTACATCAAAAACTAATGATGTAATGTACAGTGATTAACATAACATAAAAAAAAAAAGAGTGTGGTGCTGGCCTAAGGATCAACATGTAGATCAACTGAACAGGATAGAGAGCTAGAAGAAGATCGACCCTTATACCGTTATTTGATTTTAACAGACAACAGAGCGATCCAGTGGGGAAAGGGAAAGTCACTTTTTTCTTAATGGTGCTGAAATAACTAGGTCTCTACATGGGTAAAAAGGAACTTCAACCCCTACCCTCATACCATACATAAAAATTAATTTGAAATGGATCATATACATGCTAAATATAAATAAACTTTTAGAGGAAAACCCTGGAGAATCTTGATTTGAGGATGGGTGACAACAACAGGAAGAAATAGTCATAAACTATTTAAAAATTTTAAAACATTATGGGGCGCCTGGGTGGCTCAGTTGGTTAAACGTCTGCCTTTGGCTCAGGTCATAATCTTAGGGTCCTAGGATGGAGCCCCGAGTCAGGCTCCCTGCTCAGCAGGAAGCCTGCCTCTCCCTCTCCCTCTGCCCCACCCCCGCTCGTGTTTTCTCTCTCTCTCGCTCCCTCTCTCAAATAAATAAAACCTTTTAAAATTTTTTTAAACATTAGATTTCATCTAAATTAAAAGCATCTTATCAAAATATATATTAATAAAAAGAACAGGTAAGCCCCAGAGTGGGTGAAAATATTCTCAGGATATATTTAATAAAGGACTGGTATTTAGGCTATATAAAGTTCTGCAACTTAACCCAGTTAAAAATGTGCAAAAGATTTGAACAGACACTTCACAAGAGAAGATTTACAGAGGGTCTTAAAGAGCACATGAAAAAATACTCGACAGCATTAGTCACCAGGGAAATGCAAATTTAAACTATCATGAGATACCCACCAGAATGGTTAAAATTAAAGAGACCAACACCACCAAATTTTGGCAAGAATGTGGAACAACCAAAGTCTCATGCGGTATTGGTGGGAATGTCACATGGCACAAGCACTTTAAAGAGAAGTTCTGATAGTGTTTTACAAAATCATACACACAATCCCATCCCTAGCTATTTATCTAAGAGAAATAAAAACACTGGTTTACAAATAGGCTTGTATAAGAATGGTCCTAACAACAGCCTTATCTATAATAGTCCCAAACTGGAAACAATGCAAATGTCCAACAATAGGGGAATAAAATAAACTATGGGATAGTACTGAGCTCTAAAAAGGAAACAAACTATTGGTAACATGCAACAACATGGATGAATTTCAAAAACATCATGCTGAGTAAAAGAGGTCAGACACCAAGGAGCACATACAGTATCATTCCATTTATATAAAGCTCTATGGTAGAAAGAAAAAAATCAGGCTAGTATTTGCCTATGTGGGTTGAGCTTGGGAAGACGCACCAGGGAACTTTCTGGGGGTGATGGTAATGTTCTAAATCTTGACAGGGATTTAGGTCATACAGGGGTCCACATCTGTCAATAATCAGTGAACATACACATAAGGTATGTGTACTCTCTAGTATGGAAACTGTGCATCAAAAGAAAAAAAGCCTTAAACAAAATCAAACTGTAGTGAATGATAACTTTGCCGAAGGATATATGAAGTACGCTAATATCTGAAATTTACTTTGAAATGCATCCAAAACTAAAATGGATTGTCGGGGAGGCAGAAGGATGGAGAGACAGTTGGATATGTGATAAAGCAAGTAAAATGTTCATTGTAGAATCTAGGTGATAGGTATACAAGTGTTCACTATAAAGTCCTTCCAACTTTGCAGTATATTTAATCTTTTATAATAAAAGGGAAAAAAGTCTAAAAAAAATTTCTATTAACTAAATGAGCATTAAAAAGAGGAGCAAATATCCCTAAAATCAAGTTACAGAAGCGCAGTAACAACAGCGCCATCTTATGTTTGTAGGAGCTACTGCAGTTACGCAGCCCCAGATACCCGATCCCTTGGACCTCCCAGCAAGTACCCCTGTGGCACAAGAAGGCTATACACAGTATCCCTCTTTTATAAATGAGAAAACTAAAGCAGAGAGATAAATGTGCCCAACGTCTCACCCACTACCCATTCCTACTCTCGTCTGGTCCCTTCTCCCCACTGCAGCCAGAGTAACCTTTCTACATGCTACACACACACCCCTTGCCACTTTAAACAGCCTTCAGCAGTTTCCCACTGCTGCTAGAAAGCCCAAAAGGTTTAATATGGCTTATGGGCCCTGTATCATCTGGCAAGCCAACCTCACATCTCGGTGCTCTAGCCACACTGGCCTTTTGGTCGTTCTTCCTACACAGTCTGTTCTTTACCACCTGGAGACCTGGGCAGATGCTTTTTCCAGAGCTATTTGCACCATTAAACCCAAGGCATTTCTTTCAGATCTTAGTGTAAACATCGTTTCTTAAGGCAAGCCCTTCTGTCCTTCCTCTTTGCTCCCACTACCCAGATGACACCAGATCTACCAGCCCTCTTCTGGGCTCGCCCATCTCAGTAAATGGCACAGCTGTCCACCCAGCTGCTCAGACCAAAACCTGGGAGTCATTCTTGCCTTCTATCTTTCTCTTACACCCAGCATCCAATCTATCTGCAAATTGTAGGCTCGGCTTTAACAACACTTCCTGAATATATCCCTAATAGGACCACTTCTCACTCCCTTAAACCAAGTCTTTATTAATTTGTGCCTGCCAATGAAACCGTCTCCACGCTGGCTTCCCTGCTTCTGCCCCTGACCTGTTTTCCTGCATGACGTATTTCCAACACAGAAGGCGAAGGATCTTTTCAAAACACGAGGGAAGTCATGGCTCTCCTCACTCCCGGCTTCCCTCGGTAAAAGCCCAACTCCTTACAATGGCCTCCTGGGCCCTACCTGGACTGCGTCACCCTCACCTTGCCCCCTCCGCTCCCACCCTTTCCCCTGCTCCTTCTGCCCCAGCCTGCCTTAGTCTTATTCCCCAAATATCCCGGGCACTTTCCTGACTTACGCTTTTGCATCTGCTGTTTCCTCTGGCTGGAACGTTCTTTCTATAAATTGCCACATGGATCACTCTCCCCCCTTTTCAGGTTTTGTCCAAATACCACTTCCTCAGAGAGGCTGTCCTTGACCATTATTACATCCAAAACACCACCTCCGGCTGTTCTGTATCTGGACTTACCTGATTATTTTGCATAGCATTTAGCACTGAATGATATTAAATGACATTATCGGTTTTCTTGTTTGTTAATTTGCTTATTGTCTTGCCTCCTCAACTGGAATATATGCTCCAGGGGAGCCCAGACCGGCTGTTTTGTTAACAAGTATCCTCATCCCTAGTGGTCATTCCATAAATACTTGTTGAATAAATGAATGTTATTCAGTCTCCCTACACATTGTGTTCATCGCATTAAGCACTGTTTACAATTATAAATTTGTGCAAATATTTTCTTCGTGTTGGCCTCCCAGATAGACTGTAGGCCCCACAAGGGCAGGAACCATGTCACTTTTGCCCCCAACTGAAACCTAAGTACCTAGCACAGTGCCTGCTACAGAGTGGGCCCAAAATAAGTGTTGACTAAAACGAGTGAATGCATGAAAGAATAAAAAGAAATGAGTGAATGTAGGCATGAATGAATGAATGAACAGAAAATGATCGGATGCTCTCTGGAGCTGCAACTGAACCTAACATTCCTTGCACGGTACACACTCTGGTGTTTTAGAAACAGGATGAACATGCACAGGGGACAAAAAGAAAGTGAGATTTGGGCCCACTTTAGGACCTTACCTTTCTGCTTGATTAGAAAAAGTCGTGCTGGATGCCAATCTAGGAAAAGTAAACAAGAGTTATATGAGTTTCTTAAGTTTTCATGAAGAAATGCACGAGTACTGCGGTAGGACCACTTGTGGCCCCAGTTCAGATGGGGAGACAAGGAAAACCATTGACAATTCCCCTGATTAGGGACAGTGGGCAAACTCGGCGGTCAGTCTCCAGGGTTCAACTTAGCCCAGTTCCTGAGATCTGCTTTCTGCATCAAATCAGATGCTTCCACAGAGACACACACAGTTAAGTTGGTTTAATATATCACCTGGCCAAGCTACGAACTGGCCACGGCAGCCAGTTTAGACAGAGGGCTGAACAGCATTTGACCCAGTCTGTCTCTTTACATGTGAACTCAACTCAAATTCATTTCTTTGTATTCCACCTCTGAAACGTAACCACAAACAGCAAAAGCCTCTGTAAGACAGTAAAATAGGTAATAAGGGTATTTGTCAACTAATCTGTCAACAAATTGGGATGACATATTGTAAAGAGAAATGTATTAAGTAATCATTATATAACAGGTAATTTTTAATAATTATATGGTTCATACACATGGAAATATTCTGTATGTATAGTAAGAAAGAGAATGTCTAAACCCGCTAAATTGGTGGGTTTAGTAAAACATGTCTTGATCAATAAGACGTTGACGAAACAAATAAGGGGAATGCTCAAGTTCATTTACTTAAGACCACAAGAGTGCGCCCAGCCAAGAACGCATTTGGAGAGGAATGGGGGTCCGGCAACCACTAACACAAGACACCATTCCCAGTTGCTTTGGTTAATGACACTACAATGAATCAATAAGCAGTGGCAAATGAGATAAACAGTCATTAAGGGTGCAGCAAATGCAGTCTTGATGGCTGTATCTACAAAAAGGGGTAGGTAAATTTTAAGAGGGATCTAAGTAGAGAACAAACCTCAAAATCACAGAAAGGCTTGGGTGATAAATACTGAGCTTACATACGCTTAGAACACCCTGGAAATAGTTCCTGTGAGACTAACACAAATAAACTAAGTGTTCATAAATCCACATTACCTCATCTGCAACTGAGGCATGCAAGGGAGCCCCGAATTGGGTGAGGGCTGAATCCATTTCCTGGTAGGTTTGGTGATCAGGCTTAGGTTGCTAAGGGCTGTGGCAGCTACTTTAAATGTACCTCTCCACCCCGCTTCTCTCACCAGTCTAGCCAAAGGCAGTAGAGATTTAAATATACGTATATGTAAGCAGGTGAAAACTTATCTGCTACTGTTCTGCCTTTACTTATCTTCAAAGCTCACATCTTTTCATCCTAACAGCCAGCAATGCTTGAACACAGTTTCTTCTCGCTTATGTTAAACAAAAACAAAATAAAACCCCTCTCTGTATTGACTACAACTTAGATCAGCTTTTTCAAGGATATGGTAACGGATGAGAACAATAATTCTATCTGTCCTGAATCTGAAAAGTATTGATGGTAAGAATTGTGGCCTTGCATTAATAAAAACTCTCAATTCCACAAGCTGGTATATTTATTCCAGGATTGCTATGATTAGGTTAAAATCAAGGACTTAAATAAAATATTTCATCTTTTCTTATCTCTCTATCACCCACTGTTCATCACTGCACACTGGCTATTTCTAGGTACTAGAGGTGGAATAGTTATACCATCTCCTAAGGATATACACTCTTAAGGACACTACAGAAAAATGTGGGGCAAGGGTGTTAAGGGTTGAGAGGTTTTTAATGCTTTCCTGTTTAATTGGAAATCAGTATTTCTTCTAAAAAAAAAAAAAAGATCAACTTTTAGCTCCATTACAATTCATTCTCTTTCCCTCCCTCAAATACCAGGAATTTGCGGAATTCTGTTTTCTTCCCTACCTCCTCCATAGAGATCTTCCCTAAGAAATTGTTTCCATCCTGAACTTCTACAGCACTGATCACTCACACTACTTGTTACAGCTCTCAATTACATCCTACCTTGTATGGCTCCTCAGTTATTCCATACTGAGCCACTGAGCTCTTCAACTAAGCCACAAATCGCTAAAGAGCAAGAGCTCAGTCTAAAGCCCACAGCCAAAAGCCCCTGGTTCTGTGCGAGAACAGACTGGGAACATAGTACATTCATGTGGAATTTCATCCAGTCTTCTATAAATTAGGCACACCAGGACTACAATTTGTTACTGAATTTGAACTTTACGTATACCCATGAAATACATCACTTTCTATCTAATGTCCTATCCACTAAATGGAATTTTCTCAACATGAAAATTCTCAAAGTAGCTAAGTTTAATCTCCCCTTATTCCAGCTGAAAGCGCTGTTCCCAAAAAATGTCCATCCTTCCCTTTTCTGAGTCAGAAGGGTAAAACTATACTCCATCTTCCCCTCCCAGGACAATGCCTCAAGACGGCAAGGTGCCTAGAGAACCCATCTTAAAACAGGTAAGGAGAGGTAATAATATCTAAATCTTATAGATAATAATATCTAAAACTTGTAAGCTGTTGAACTATGAACTGTGCACAGTTCTGGGTACTGCCCCATACATTATTAGCCCAAGTAGTAATTAAGAGCAACAAATAGGTGATTTTTCTTAGTGCAATTTCCTCTAGCATCATTCTGACACCATGACATGGTGACCCATGACCCAACACAGCTTGGGAATTCAATCCGAAGTTTGGTACATTCCAGTTTTAAAATTAGTCTGAGTTCATCCCACAAATATCAAACATCTAAAAGGTTACTGAACGTTTTACTTTTGAACTGATAGTTTTTATGTCAAGGTATAGAGTGAATAAGGCTCCTCCTTCCTTCCAAACAGAACCGAAGCAATATTCACCTTCCCACGGACTGCATTATATCCAGCAACAGTGGGGCTGCCAGGTCTGGGCTTAAGTGAATGAATGTGGAGAGGACCACAATGGCCAGCCCAAGGGTTTCCTCGTCATATTCTTCAAGAATGGCCCCACAGTCATGGCATCTGCGAAGAAAACAGAGGAATGTTGTCCACGAAAGCCAGCAATGGTTTCAAGATATAACAAAGTATATAAAGCCATTTCTCCGGAGTCTTGGAAAAGTCCCCAAAAGGAGGTCAGTGGCCCCACTCTCATGATACATAGTGGACTGCAATACCACCCTCCTCCTAGACACAGAAATAACACACATGACAGAGATCAGGAAGGTTCTTTAAGTCACTGAAAACATTCAACTCACAATTGTCTGGCCTCTATGGACATGAATTATTGGTCCCTTTCACAGTAAGCGCCAGGCAGACTAACAGTTTGAAGCTTCTGCCTGAGGGATTTTAGGCATGTAAAATTATTGCTAGGGATAGTCAGTAACTAGATATTTTTTTCATTTGTTGAAATTAAACATGAAAAATGCCTAGATGCAAATGGAAGCTTTCCTACGCTCTTGGATTGAAAAATGTCCTATTTGTGGGTGAGACATGGGGTAGTTAAGCCAAGAGAACACTCCAGAAAGCCTGGGGAGTCTGGATCACAGTCTCTTCTCTACCACTCACTCAGATCAGTCTTAAGAACGCACCGCGCCTACTGAGTGTAATAGGTAAAGACACAGTGGCACCTGCTCCTAAGTAACTTCCAACTTACTGATCTTGATAGTATCTAATATGGGTCCAACTTAATTCATCTCAGCCAAAGCCACAGCCCTTCTATTCAGCCACAGCCAGACAGCTTTGTAAAGTGAAGGGAAAGTCTACTGGGAATAGCGAGGGAACTACAGCTAAGATCACTATTGAGAACTTTCCGTCTGGAGACTTCCTAAATACAAACTCTATCTATGAAATCCCTGACAAATTGACCTTTTTGAAAAATATAGGATTCACATCTGTAACTAAAAAAGAAGAGAAATGGAGTGCACACAAAGACTGGGACTTGGGGGAGGACACAAAACGGGGACATTGTACCAAAGGAGGCACCAAGGACAGGCCTCCAAACACAGCGAGGTGCTCCCCACATGGACATTCCAAGGCAGCTCTCCAAGGCGGGCACCTTCGCTTCTTCAGGAATGACTGTTGGCTGGGGCCAGCTGCACAGGTCCTCACGCCAGCCCCTCGTGCCTCATATTCTTCTCCCTTTATCACAAGCCTACCCACTGCATCACCAGGAAGTCTCCCTAGCCCAAAGGGATCTCTCCAAACTTGAAATCCTGCAAGTCTTATTCTTTAGCATATTCAGTACACAACCATTTGTGTGCCAGACAATGTATAGGGAGCTTAGAGTATAAAAGACAGAAGAAAGGGTCACAGTCCCTAAGGAACTCACAACCTGTATGTATAAACAATGACACAATTAAAACACAATGTGGTAAGTGGTAGAACAGAAAGATGTCATAGATGCTACGGAAACTTGGAGAATGGTATGACTAATTCTGCCTTGTGTGTAGGGGGAAACTCTGCCTTCAGCTGGGTCCTGAAGCATGACTAGGAGTTCACGAGGCAGAGAAAGTACAAAGAGCAGGACACCTATGAAATCACAGAAGAGAGAACACATCAGGCACGCTCTGGAGAAGGTGAGGGGGCTGGGCCAAGAGCTCCAGGTGAGGAGCAGTAAGGCCATACCTTCACAGTCTAAAGGGCCTTTTGTCATAAGCAAAGGTATTTGGACTTTACCCTCTGGGGATACTGAAGGATGACAAACCGCGAGGTGACGTACCAGTTTGAGACTGAGAGAAAGGATTCTGCTGGCAGGATGGGAATAAGAATCAAGTCTCCATACTTAGTCCCATCCTCACAATTTGAAGCTTATAATAATCAGTAAGTGGCTCTGATTTGCATTTGTCCGAACTGAGAAAGGAACATGCCTTGGCATAAACAGATGCTGGCCATACAATGATAGGACATTTCTAAAATAACAATGCCCACCCAGGGCGCCTGGGTGGCTCAGTTGGTTAGGCGACTGCCTTCAGCTCAGGTCATGATCCCGGAGTTCCGGGATCAAGTCCCGCATCGGGCCCCCTGCTCGGCGAGTAGCCTGCTTCTCCCTCTGACCCTCCCCCCTTTCTAGACCCTCCCCCCTCTCTAATTTTCATTCTCTCTCTCTCTCTCTCATTCTCACTCTCTCAAATAAATAAATCTTTAAAAAAAAAATAATAAAATAACAATGCCCACCCACGCTTAGGGCCACGGCCCCTTGACGAATAAGTTATGACTTAAAGCATAACACGCCTCCTCTGATCCTTTCTCACAACCGTGGTGAGCAAACGCTCAGATTCGGTAAATGGTGAAGAAAAGAACAGCATGAGCTTACTTGTCTGTCATCACTGTCGGCTGCTCATCGGTGAATTCTTCCGGGGCCGGCACAAACATACTGACGATGCTGGGGGCCGACAGCAGGCTGGATTTCGTGGCGCCTGGGGAAGCAGCAAGAAGACACCTGGCGAATAAAGGTCTGTTTCTGGGGGCCAGGAAAGCCCCATCCTCCTCTCATAAATCCTCCCAAGATCACACTCACGGAATGTGATGGGATCAGCTCAACGCATTGTGAAAACCCCTCAAGGGTCAAATGAGTTCAAGAAAGAATGATTTGTTTCAAGGGTAAAATGAATTCAAGAAGGACTGTGATTTGTTTCTGTTTGTGTGACTTTTAAGAGCTAGACTCCCTTTGCTTCTTGACTTCGAAAAAATCAGAAAGAGTTCAGTGTGCCAACAGGGGATGAAGACAAAAATAGAAAAAGGGGGAAATCTATTCAAGAGCACCTTTAAGTAAGTTTACAGTCCTTATTTGCTAAGCATACATGGAAGCTGCCCTTACAATCCTACGTTTCTAAAATCACCAATGCCTACCGACCCTAAAATGCTGCTAATTTGAGAAGGGAATAAGATCCCAGAACTCTACACACATAAGCAAGGGGAGGGGTTTGAGCTAAGAAATATCAGAACAGCTTTTTACCTTGGAAATTAATATCATAAGCCCCAAAGCAAAAGACTTCATTTTTCAAACTGAAATATTTATGAATGAAAGATCAAGTGTTTTGAAGGAATCATCTAGTGACTTCGGCCAGTCAACATCACAGAGTTTAAAACTTTGGGTTTTGATGCCTTCAGAGAAATCTAAGGCAGGAATCTTGGCGACATGCTCTAGCAATGAGTAAATTGTTCTCTACTAAGAAAACGACCAGTGCCAGACAGAGTCAGGAAAGAAGGCAGAAAAACTCAGCGGTCATTAAAGAGTTTGTTTCTCATCAAGAAACTAGAAATTTAGTGCTGGAAAACAAAACAAAATTGTATGATCTTTCCTTAAATAGGAGAAAAATAATGATTCAGAGAACCAGTTTTTAAAAGAAGTAACATAAAAATTTTAGAAACCTAGCAAAGTGGGCAATGTGTTTCAACCTGAGGGAGAAAAAAAGGGTATTGAACCCTTTAAAGAATGAAGATGCTGCCAGACTGTATATTCCCTTGACTGATCAAAGGCTACAAAGTGTGTTTATGAGAAGCAAGAGACCTGCAGACTCAAAAGGCAAAGGAAAGTATCTAAAAATATCTTTATGTCACTTCCAAAGATCCCAAATGGGTATCTAAATTTTACTACAATATTTACCAGCTATCTCTGAGTAACACTCTTTTCTACCTGTACCTCAGTATATCACTAACAAGGATCTCCAATTGTTTCATCAAGAAAGTGCTTTGAGGGTGCCTGGGTGGCTCAGTTGGTTAAGCGACTGCCTTCGGCTCAGGTCATGATCCTGGAGTCCCAGGATCGAGTCCCACATCAGTCCCTGCTCAGCAGAGAGTCTGCTTCTCCCTCTGACCCTCTTCCCTCTCGTGCTCTCTATCTCTCATTCTCTCTCTCTCAAATAAATAAATAAAATCTTAAAAAAAAAAAAGATAGTGCTTTGAGGGAAAGCAACAGTATTTATTACAAGCATAACTATATTTTGATTAATAATAGAAAAGGCAAGAACTGGGCCCAAGATAAAAGGAGACATGCTTAATTGTTAAACACTAAGGTAAACAGCATGAAGTTGCTTCAAGCAACCAAAACACAGAAAGTTTAAATCTAATATTCCGCATTTCTTGAACATTGATAGACCATGTCTACCAGATGCCAAAATGTCTATGCTAAAAGTGGAAGAAGTCACCCCATAAGATGGTGATACATATACAGTCTTACTGGAAACAAAACACTGAAAGGAGAAAAAATTATTGAGTCAAGTCTTTCAGAAGACTCAATTACTATTAAATAGAATTTAATACCAATTACTATTAAATAGAATTACCAATTACTATTAAATAGAATTCACAATTCAAGTCAAGAAAAGAGAAGAAATCAAAGTCATTTGGGTGGTTTCAAGCCAATAATTACCCAATACAAATGCCAAGAAATAGGTATTTCTGACTATAATAGCTCTGTGAAGCTGTTTATTCACACGACAACACAAAAGGTGTCATGCATTATCTATGGCAATCATCTATAAAAGTTATTGGGTGCTGGCTCCCCTATGGCAATATTAGCTAAAACTGGATTTCTGAATATGGCTAATCATTTGGGAGCAGAGTAACATAGAAGAAGAAGGTGGGAAATGCAAAGGAAGCTACGGACCTCAGCTACTTTTTGTTCTAGTTGAGTTACAATGAAGTCTGCAACATTAAAGGCAGTCCCATTATCCCCCAGTTGCGGGCAATACTTCTGATGGCACCACTACCCAAAGTGTACTCTGTATGGAACTAGGAACAGAAATAGAAGGTTCTTAGAAGCTTGGATAAAGAGGGGACCTCCCCCAAAGTCCAACTCCAAAGCTGGAGATTTTGACCAAAGCCCCTATGGGACTCTTAGAGATAGGAGGCATTGTAAAGGTTTTGGTTTGTTCAAAGGATGCAAGCACCCGTCGGTCCCTTAGCTGCATCAGTGGACCTCTTCAGTTTACTGTGAAAGAGACTTTATCTTTCTGTCTTTGTTCCCTTTACCTTATTCCATTTTTGCAGCTACTAACTTAGTCACTGGATCGTGGATGAGCAAGCACCACAGTTGTCTGACCACTGACTTCTGCTCATAAAAGCTTTTCCCAGACACATAAGTGAGAAGAGTCTCATCATCTATAGGAGTTAAAACGGCTACTCATTGCCCAATAAATGTTAGCAAAAGCTGAAGATAAAGATCTCTTCATTCCTAAGGAAAATCAGAAGAGTGATATGGTCCTAAATAATAAGTCTGCTTAATTGAGGGAAGTAGCTAAGAGATGCAGTCATAGTTCATTTTTTGTTTTTTGGTTTGTTTTATTTTTTTACAAATGATAATTAAGCTGCTTTCTGAATTAAAAAAGAACAAAAGTAATGATTAACTAGCCATGAGATGAATTTTGAAAATACATATTCTGATGATCTTGGCACAGATTTATTCTCAGCTTACTCCAATGGGCAGCATAATGCCACAAGTATATTTTATGCGATTTCAGATTTCAAAGAAGCTATTCGTCTATGATCTCAACATTCTAGAATGAACACAGATAAGCTGGACCATGTTCAGAGAAGATACACAATAATATGGACGGCTGATATGTATTAAGAGGAATATCAAAGGACCCAGGGACATGTGGTCTACAGAAGATTGAGGAAGTAAGTGATGTGTAGCTATTTTCAAACATCTAAAAAATTATGTGAGCAACCAGACTCATTTTAGGTGGCCCCAAACAGAAAGTCACGATAAGGAAGAACTTTCTGTTGATAAGGTTCAAAGAGGAGATGTCAGGCATTCCCAGTCCCTGGAGGTGTTTGAACAGAGGCTGGATCCACTTCATGGAGCTGCTGAAGAAGAGCTTTCAGCACCTGCTGGGTGACCAGATGATTGACATATACAGTGTCTTTCAGCTCATACAGTCTGAGATTCCACAGCCCAGCTAACCTCTCATTCTCAACGGCTGTCCCTCCAGGTCAGGGTTTAGGCACATTGGCACATTGCACTGGCGTTTCCCAGGCTGTATCTGTTCTGTGGATAAATAGAACATTTCAGTCTTCAATGCAGTCAATTTAGCACAAGTCAGAATACAAAGAATTTAACCAATAACCTCATGGGCCATTTTTGGGGGTCATTGTTATTGTTGATTATTAATATGTATAGGAAACATCCTAGATTTTTGGGTAGGGCTGTCTGGGGTTTTACTACAAAACTGCCATTCAGGTATATGCAATGTAATTAAAAGCAGGAGAGCATCTAAAACCGCCCAAAAAAAAAAAAAAAAAAAGTCTGGATTCTCTTCCTCCCCACCGAGAAAGCTCAAATACCATTATCTCTTGATATGAAATGAAAAACTGAAAGGCTAATGTCACAGCCATGAAATAAATGTTTTATGCAAATCAGTAAATACATAAGCGATCGTTTGGGGCAATGGCCAGAAAGGTCATACAGAAAACATGTGGAACTGGTAGCAAGGAAATGGCAGGTGTCTCCCTGAGGGCTGAGGACCAGGGGTGAAGTCAGCCACTGAGGGCTGAGGAACAGGGGTAAGGAACAGGGGAAGACACAGAGGAGTGTGGCTTCTGGAACATGTGTTTCCTATGAAAAATGAGACGAAGAAGCAGCCATCAGATGAGCACGGGTGGAAAAGAGGCAGGTATTCACTGAGCAAGCAGGTGCATGCTGAGGTGAATCGATCATAACCCATGTCTTAGACTGCCTCTCTCAGTGTCGACATGATTAGATGTGTCCCTTTGGAGACCAGTGAGTCACTGAATCGACATATGTGCTATAAAGTGGCATGCCACCTAACAGTGACCTATGTATTCATTGACTCTCCTGTGGTCTTAGATTTGGGGAGAACTTTTCATGGCACTAATCAAAACAAGGGTATTGAGATGAAGCTCCAGTAGGACTTGGTGACTAGAGAACCAACTTGGAGAATGGAAAACAAGTCCAGGAAAATGGGTGAAAGAAATTCAGACAGCATGTAAATGGTAAGTATTAAGTGAGAAACCAGAGTGGCATGAATAGAGACTGAAGTCTGGTGAATGTGAAAAATTCAGTTAAATGGGTTATTTGGCATCATGTAGATTCTATTATTAGATTAAAATTTGGATTGGAAATTGAGATCTAGTTGCCTTTTTATTACTCTACTGAATCAATCAAACTCGGTTGGAATCGTAATCTAAATCTAAAATGGTTAGCTTAGGCTGAGCTACTTGCTACAGAAAATAGAAGCATGTCAACCTAACAAAAGGTGGGCATTTAATTATTAGAGAACTAACCAAACCAAGGCTCCCATTCTCAGTTCCTCACATAGCTTCCTCAGTAAAGAGAGAAACAGAGTCAGTCCTCTTTGGTGTGGATGGAACGACTCCACCCAGACCCAGTCGGCTGTTGAGGCTGGTTATCCTGTCTTTCTCCTTGACTCTCTTGCCTGTTGGCTTTCAGCCATTACATTATTCACTACCACTTATCACCAAAAGGAAGACAAAACATGAAACCTTTAAAACGTTAAGAACCCTTATAAAGGCTGAGGAGTTGAAACTGTCAAAAGTAGGATTGGGTATTTTTTTGTGGGACTTAATTATCTAGCTCTCCTTTTTTGGAAAAACAACGGATGGGGGTGGGGGAGATAAGATAAAATGTATGTCAATATTGTGGTTTTGAAAAAATAAGTCTGTCGATATTTTGGTTTTGTGGACGTCATAATGCCTGGTCATAAAGAAGGATATTAAAATAACAATCTCACATAACTATGGCCAGAAAGGACTAACCAAGATATTGAAGTAGGTCTAAGTGTTGGCCCCCAGAGCCTATCACAGTAACAAACCATGACATTTTCGTAGTGCATGCATGTTGCAAAGTGCTTCCGCATGTATAATCTTGTAACTCAAATGACCCATTTAATTAAAAAAAGAAAAGAAAAAACACGAAAAGCAGGTACGCCAAAGAGCAGGATTGTGGCAATACTACCGGCTTGGAAAGGAGTATGTGTGCAGAACGTGGGAACAAAGTTCAGAAAATGCAGAGTGATCATGTTTGAAATAGACAGGTCATGGCGATCGATTCTTACTTTAAAATTGAGGTTAGATGCGGTTCCACCATATGAGCATGAGGGTGTGCAGCTGCAAGCTGGTGACCCTGCTGACTAAAACACAGAGCTCATATTCCCAAGCCTACTGGCAGATCATGACGTCACTAAGCTACATTCGTTATTGTTAGTATTACTATTAATATGCCCTTATTTGGGGGGGAACTTTACAAAATAGAGACTATTGATAATCTGGTGTTTCTGTTTGTTTTTTTAATTTGCATCATGAAATCACAGTTCCATTCCCTCCTTTACACACTGACATCACTTAACCCCCAGATAGATAACCTAGTATCTGGAATCTGGGTCTTAGAGGAAAAAGAGTTGGACCAGCCTAAATGGACAAACAGGTGGCTCTAGAACACTTGGAAAGTTTAAACAGACTTATTCATTACCTTCAAGTTTTTAAAAAAAAAATTACTTGAACCACAGAACACAAGAGAAAATCTAATCCTTCACAAGAGAGCAGAGGGGACACAAAGAAAGTGGCATTTAGCTAATCTGAGAGGTAAAACAAGAAGAAAAAGCTTGACCCACCAGTGTCCCAGTTGCTGATGTTATGGGGGGCGCTAGACTGATGTTCCAGCTGTCGCTTCATTAACTGGCTCATTGTCAGAGCTCCCAGGGATCCCCTTTTCATCTGCCTATACTGAGCTATATGGAGGAAATTAGGACATGATTACTAGGGGGAATAAATTTCCACTGCACACAACGGCTCTACAAATCCATATAGAATCTTAATTGAACTTTCATTGGCTATTTGTGATTGCTCGGTAAATTGTATGCTCCTGTCCAAAGGAAAAACTGAGGCACGTTGCTGTTCCGGGTGCCTTTCTTCCCTCAGTAAAGAATGAAAGAGTGCCTATGAGCATTTATCTGTACCCTGTAAATATTTACTCCAGTTACCACAATATGATTGCTTTCATTTACTTTTTTATTTATATACTCTACCTTGTTCCAAAAAGGATTTAAGGCAGATAATACTACTTTGAATTTATAGCTTAACTTTTTTTAATGGAGCTTGTTCATACATAGTTTCAGGCTCCATTATATCCCCAGGAGTCCGTGTGTGTGTGTGTGTGTGTGTGTGTATTTTGGAGTAAAATGACACATATCAACCCCAGTTTTTTGAGAGAGAAACTGAAGCAAATGATGCCATGTTACTTGGGAACCAACTATCAAATGAGGTAGTCATAGAAACCGAAACATGTTGACTCCAAAGTCAATACTATTTTTAATCTCTGTATGAGCCGCTGCCTACTGTTCGGGAAATGTGAACCGAATCACCTTCCACAAGTGTATTCCAGTACAAATCTTTGTTTTAGAGAGTAGTGGTAACATTTTTATCCTTCAATTAGGCACTGACAAATATCCCACCAATGAAATGTCAAGTTACGAGCATTTCCAAACCAGAAAAATAATTAAAAAAAAAAAAAAAAAAAAACTCCTGCCAGTAGACTGTTGAGTAAAAAGAGCAATCTGCCTCCTCTACCCCCCCATTCCTCTGCCAGGGGTCCCATCAGTCCCTGCCCCCAGCCCAGTGAGAAAAGCAGAGAATCACTGATGTGCCTTTTCTACATGATCCCAAACTCCTGGACACTGGAGAGTGTGTGGTATTCACTCTCTTAGGAGGACAATTTCAGAAACTGAAGTTCTTTAAGTACATGCTCTAAGAGGGGATGGTAGAAACCAGAATGATTGTATGGCCCCTGGAAAGCCTTAAATGTTATACACAGGTTTCACAATCACTGTACCAAGACGGTGACTTTGTGAGATGTGAAATCAATTATAACATTTTTAATGTAATTGGCATGCTGTTGGATTCATGGTAGTCATGACATGGTTAGCTACAAAATGGTCAGCCAGCAAACTGATCCAAAGAAGGGAGTGTGATGGGAATTCTTGTGTCTTGGAGTCCATGTTGACTAAATTCACGATAATGACTACACCAACCCACACGGAAAATCTCCGATTCTTGTTGATTGGTGAAATTCAGTGTTACGACTCACTTGAAACATGCAACTTCAAGTCAAATGCAAAAGCAGAAATCTTGTAGAAGACTTAACCAATTTAAAAATGAGCATGCTCAAAGGAGGACTTAAAACCTCTAGTGATTTCATAAGTTCTCCGATTCTCAGTTGTGCGTAGACAGAATTCCCTGAGAGTAAAAACCTTTATGTTCAGCTCAGTGTGTGAGGTGCCTGGCATGATGCCTCCAAGAACACACCACCAACAGCCATCCAATACATGCTTTTAATGGAGAGAAGGAGGAAGGTGGAAATCCACTGATGCACTCTGCTGACTCCAGAAAAGCTAGAGTCAGTTATGACTCTAGGATCATGAGACACTGGATATGCTTATTTTATGACACATTTAACTAGCACTGAAGTCAAGCTGACTTAGTCACCCTATCTCATATTTTACCCAACTTGGAATTCTGATTAAAATTCACTATCTTCCTTTTTTTTGAATGATTCACATAAATTAGGAGGAGAAAATATACTTTTATGATTCTAGTATGAGGGCTTACCAATGGGCATTCTATCACATTATCAAATAGATTTTTATGATAAAAGAACAATTAAATCCAGAACTAGCTGTTCTTCTTTGCTACCAAAAGGGCAAATAACTGTTACTTGAAAACACTTTTTTAGAATTTCTATAATCTCTATTATAAGTGAAGTTGAGTTATTCTAAGGCAGTGTGTGATACCAAAAAAGAGCAAAGATTTGCCAATCAAACAGACCTGGCATCAATCCCCTGTCTCTATCACACAGTAGCTACCTGACTTTAGGCCAGTCATTTAGCCTCTCTGACCTCTGCTTCCTAGTCTATAAAATGGGGTCAGTAATATTTGCCACATAGGGCTGATGTCAGGATTGAGTAAAACAACCATGTGTGTAACCATGTGGCACAGTGCCCAGCACGTGGTTAAGTGTCAAATAAATGGGAACTATTATTAACTATTATGACTATGAACTCCTCGGACAAGGGGTGTCTCTTATTTATTCACCTTGGATCCCCAGTGGCAAGCACAGTGCCCGGCACCCAGCAGACACTTAATAAATAGTTGCTGAATGAATGAATGCATGAATGAATGAATCATGAAGATGACGATGTTGTTCCATACTACCAGTCCAGCATTTGAGTTATGATCTTTATCTAGTTTTCGGGATCATCCTCATTTCAAAAGATGGTCAAGTGAAAATTAACTAGCTCCTTATGCAGCATCTACATGGAGCACAAAACAGACCAGCAGCTGGGACGAGGGCTTGCAGGAGCTGTGCCTCCATATCGCTGACTCCTGCTGGGAACCTCCCAACCTAAAGTCTCTCAACTGGCTCCACCGAGGTAGGTAGGCCCCCCTACCTTCACCTCAACGGAACCCACGCTCCTCAAGGACAAAATCTAGGACCCAACCACAGAAGGCAGTTTCAAAATAGTTGCCCCCTACAGATCTTATAGAATTTCATGCCATTTTTATTTTCAGATCCAAAAGGGCTGGATTCAGTCATGACTCTGGGATCATGATCTATCTGTTACATTTATTTTGTGATAACCTAGATAAAATTTTGTCACTGATGGAAGTGATTCAAATGAAACAAAGGGGTTCAATGTAAAATTCTGTCGTGAACCATGCTTTTCACTTGTCCCAAAACTAGTTCTAGGCCTTATGTTTAGACTAGTCATCAACAATTTTTATTTTTTTGAATTATGAAATTCAGTGATTATTCCTTCACAGATTGGGATTCTTGGCCAATCAGTAATGGCACTGATTTATCAAACACTTGAGATGTTGACAAAACTGAGCCTGTGCCTCAGGATCTCTGAAATCTTACCGCTGGGTATCCCCCAGGAAGCTAACACGACGTGTATAAAGAAAAAACCCCAACACTGGGAGTGTGAACATTGAAAACAATGCAGCAGATATTACTCCAAAATCAATGTACAGGTGAAATGATCACCAAAGGAAATCTTACTTGATATTGAGGAATGGCTGCTTGTTTCTGGCACACCTGCTTCTAATGTGGGGGCAGATGAGGATTCTCGTGGCATTTCCAAAGTTGAAAGTCCTTTAGTAGTGGGATCTACAAACAGAAATATTATTTAAAGCTCAGGACGTTGATTAAAAAATAAATAAATAAAAGCAAGTTCAAGAACCTTCTCCATATCTTTTCCTTCCTGCCTAATACACCCTTTCAAAACATTCTATGTGTTCTGGCCCTACCAATTACTTGAACGGAATTATATACACGCTGGTTTCCAAATTCCATGCAGAGATGCTTCCACATTACATTCTGCATCTGTGGCTACGCCTCTCAGAGATTAACAAAAGCACAGTTACAAAGCTAAAGCTCAGCATGTCCCCACGGCATGGCCTTGAGCAGGTCACTTCACCTTTCCAGAAGTGAATTCTTTTCATCTACTACCTAAAGATGCTTACAATTCATTCCACCTACATCATTCTACCACTCTACCTCTTCCTGGCAATATGTTACTCATTAATTACATCTCAAGTATACAGACAGTTCCTCCTCCAGAAGGTCTTCAAGGAAACCCCTCCCCCCAAAAATACAAATGAAAAAATGGGTCATGTGATCCTCTTATGTAATCCCAGGACACCCTGTCCTTAACCTTTCTCAAATTTAACACACTATAACATAATTGTCTATTGACTTGTCTACAACCTTTGCTAAACCGTAAGTAATTCAGGAGCAGGGACTGTATCTAACTTGGAATAAATACTATGAATGCAGTTTTTCTATTTTATTAGGTGAGCAAGAAACAGACTGTATCATTTGCTCCTTCTATTTGGCAAATGTATCTAAGAGGAAATATTTTCTGCATACACTATCCATCAGTACTGGGAAACAAGCTGTCCCACACTATTCTAGGTAGGTTATCCTTTAAAACTTTTGAAAAGTTTAATGGGGACGCCTGGGTGGCTCAGATGGTTAAGCGTCTGCCTTCAGCTCAGGTCATGATCCCAGAGTCCTGGGATCGGGTCCCGCATCGGGCTCCCTGCTCCTTGGGAGACTGCTTCTTCCTCTGCCTCTCTCTCTCTCTCTCTCTGTCTCTCATGAATAAATAAATAAAATCTTTAAAAAAAAAGAAAAGTTTAATGGTTTATCATAGCAATCCCCGCCCCCCAAATTCTTTACAAATCTCCTTGCCATCTTAAGCAATACTATAAAATGAACAGAGTGAGCAGCCTGGAGTTACCCTATAGGTGTCCACGAATGTCCCATGCTATAATTTGGGGATGCCTCCCTAAATGACTTCAAGTTCTCAAGCTTCATGATGATTTTGTCTCATTCTTTTCATATTGTCAATTTTTTTCTTGTCCTAGAGCAAGTCACCATACATTCATGCATACATACAATTGAAGTATGCAGATGCTATTCTATCTTTGGATGATGACTAAATTTGTCAGAAATAAAAGTAAAATCAATCTTAAGTGAGAGGCTGGGAGGAAAGTTGTCGAGCACTGATGCTGTTTTGATTCTCAGAGGTCTTTCTGAATAGATATGGTTGCCAGATTAATCATTTCTTTTTTTTTTTTTAAAGATTTTTTATTTATTTGACAGAGAGAGACACAGCGAGAGAGGGAACACAAGCAGGGGGAGTGAGAGAGGGAGAAGCAGGCTTCCCGTGGAGCAGGGAGCCCGATGCGGGGCTCGATCCCAGGACCCTGGGATCATGACCTGAGCTGAAGGCAGCCGCCTAACGACTGAGCCACCCAGGCGTCCCCAGATTAATCATTTCTTGATGAAAAAAAAAAGTATAACTGTTTCCTGAACCCTCTTGAGTAAGCACAAAATAGCAACATGTTTTAAATTACCTTAGTCACTAAGATATTAGAGGTTAGGCTATTATTTTTCTCTTAGGTATTCTCCCCAAACCACTAGTTCAAAACATGCACAGTCAAAAAAATTTAAGATTAAATAAATAAATAAAAACATGCACAAATCTTGTCTCTTCACCCTCATCTGCCTCTGTTTCATGTATGCTGCTCCTAGAGCATAATACTCCCACCAATAATGTAGAATGAGAAAGCTTAAAGCTCATCTTCAAGAATTCTTTGAAGATCATTGAGACTTTTAGAGTTTTGCTAGGCTTACTAAAATCTTTGCTGTATCTTTAATTTTAAAGAAATGTCATTACCATAAGGTACTTGGTAATAATCATTAGTGTACAAAGATTCCACAAGCCAGGCAATTTTTGCTCAGTCCTAAATCATCTTATGAAACCTTCCATTTGTATACAGTTTAAGACAACAAACATTGGAACAGACCTATACGCTTAGCTTAAAGTATTTTTATTCAGTTTTTATAGGATGTGCAGAAAATGTCATAACTATTCATTCATTCATTCATTCATCAAACATTTGCCAAAACTCTACTAGGCACTTGGGATACAATCAGTGAACAAACTAGGCAAGAATCCTTGCCTTCGAGAACTTTCATTTCAGTGCGGAGAGACAGACAATAACATACATAAAGGTAAAATTGTATGTTAGAAGAGTAATTCTCTGTAGAAGAGAGACAGAGAAGAAGGGATTCCAAGATGCCAGACAGGGGTGGAAAGGTGGGGTGTGGGTCCAAACACCTCCTGGTGTTTGATCAAAGGATCAACGGAAAGGAGAGAGGGAGCCAGGCAGACATGTGAGGAAGACAGGCTGAGGGAGTAGCCAGCACAAAGGCCCTCAGGTGGAACTATGCCGGGAGCGTTTAAGAAATGGCAGGGGCCACTGCAGCTGTGTAGAAGCAATGAGGTGAGAGCAGCACAAAATGAAGTCCGAGAAATCATGAGAATCAAGACCACAGAGCACTCCAGAAATATCAAGGACCTGAGCTTTTACTATGAAAGAAATGGGGAGCCAATTGGGGGTTTTAATCAGAGGAATGGTATCATCTCATGTCTTAAAAGTATCACTCTAGCTGCTGTGTTGAGAAGATATGAAGGCAATAAGGGTCGAAGGCAGGGGACCAGTTAGGAGGTTACAGTCACTGACCCAGGTGAGAGGTGTGGGGCTCAGAGCAGAGTAGAAGCAGGGGACATAGTGGGGGAGGGGACCAGATTCTGGATATATTTTGAAGGTAGATTAAGATGACCAGACAAAATGGAGGATGCCCAGTTAAAACTTAATTTCGGATAAACAACGGATAACTTTTTACTATGAGGACATCCCATGTAATACGTGATAGATACGGCTCCAATTCTTCACTCCTCCCTGAATCCATGCCCCATGCCACGTGACTTAGAAGGTCCCCCCTCATAAGAGGCAGGGTATATTTCCTTCTTGACTTTGGTGATTTGTTTTGGCCAATGAAATGTTGGCAGGCATAACACGACCAAAGGCTTGAAAAGTGCCTGTGCAATTAGACTTGCTCTCTTGTGCTCTGCCATCACCATGAGAAAACGTTCCCAGGCTTCTAGGGTCCCAGGAGGAGGTTGGCCACCCAGCCCAGCTCAGCCTAGATTAGCCGATCCACAGTAACCTACGACTTAGCATTACATGTTGCTGAGATTTTGTGCTCATTTGTTACACGGCATTATTCCAGCAATAGGCAACTGAGTGAACTGTCTCAGCATACAGACAATATGGAAAATCATAAAACTAGATGAGATCACCCAGACAGTGAGTGTAGACAGAGGACTGAGACCCTAGGGCACTCCCTCCTTAGGGAGATAAGGAGGAACCAACAAGAGTTTGAGAAGGAGTGACCACTGACGAAGCAGAAAACCAAGAGAGTATGGTATCCAAGAAGCCAAGCAAAGTGGGGAAGTAAGAGTTAAGAACTGACCACTGGAAGTCATTGGTCACCTTGACAAGTGACGTTTGGGTGAACCACTGGGGATGGAAGCTTCATAGGAATGATGAATTCTTTTTAGAAAGAATAGAATGGGAGAAAATTGGAGATAATGATTGTATAGGCAACTCTTTAATATGTTTTGCCAAGAGGGGAGAAGCCAAATGAGATAATAATTGGGAGAACTGGGATCAAGAACTTTTAAGAGAGAAATAAAATTATGTTCGTATGCTCAAGTCAAGAATACCTTAGGAAGAAAAAAAATTAACAGCAGTGGGGGAAGAAAGAAGGGAGAATTTCTGGGCCTATATCTCTGAATAGGTAAGAGAAATGGCATCTTGTCCACATGTGGAAAAGCTGACTTTAAACAGTAAACCAGACAGTTCACCTGTAGCCCCAGCCATGAAGGCCAGACGTACAAGTGCAGATACTGGAAGGCAAGCAGATGAGGTGGTAGGAGGCTGAGGAAATTTCTTCTGATTATGTCAAACAGGAAGAGTTATTGGAAGTTTGGAAAGACAAGTCGCCATGAAATAAACAGTCACTCAGGAGAATGGAAACGTGAATGGGCCAGGGAAGTATGGTATGATGGCCAGGTAGTTCAAAGACCCAGTTGAGATTTATGGTCATGAATTTAAAATGAGGCCAGTCAATATTGTTATTTCTCCAGTCACACTCATTGGATAGGTATGGGGTGCAGGTAGATGGAAAGGTGGATCCGACAAGGGTTGTGTTTAGCCAAGCAAGTCTGAAAAAGCGAAGGCCAAGATGGTGCAGGGCAGGAGAGCTACACTCATTGACTTGAGTAAGGAAGAGGAGAGAAGACATGAAGTAGGGGAGGGATGTGAAAGGACCAATCCAGCGTTGTCCAGAGAGGAAATGGAAATCAGAGGACAGGAGGCATGAGAATGACATTGTGGAGGGGCTGCAGTTGTTGCTATAAACAAGGTCTGCGTCATGACCATGGGAATGAATCGCTGAGCTAGGGTGCAGGATAAAAACAAAGTTACTAGAGAAGATGAATTCAAGGAACTGAGAAGCCGGAGCATCAGGAGGATCATCTGCTTTAATACTGGAATCAATAAGAATTCAGGCAGAAACAGCTTAGGCGAGAATGAAAAAAGAGCCAGGAGTCAAACTGTCACCAGATAATTGTCATCAGGGGTCGGTAGTATGAGGTTCAGAGTTTAGAGACAAGGTGGGAATGGTCTGAAAGGGGCAGCGGTGAGCAAGGAAGGGGCCTACCCCTCACCCAATCCCAAGGGCACAAGGCAGTGAGGAAAGCAGTGTCCTTGGGGCAGAGCCAGGTTTCCACTAGACTACGCGTGAAGGGAGTCGTCAGATGAGAGAGCATACATGGGATTTGCTCATGAAGGATGGAGGAAGGTTTTCAGTAGTTAGCATAAGGTAGGACAAAAGTTCAGAACAGAAGATGTGCAGAACCTCATGGATATTAGAGGAGTGACCTGGGCCTTCCTGCAGGGACTGACATGAACACAGGGAAAGTGCATGATGAAGTTGGACCTGGTGGCTCAAGGTGATCAGCAGTGGCGAGGCTCTGAGTTTGGAAGGACCAGAAGCCGTAGCTGTCTGGGCTTCCCTTTACTCTAGCTGATAGAGGCAAAAAGGTCTAGAGAAGCCTGTGTCTTACTCTGAGCCCAGGCCTCCTTCCAACACCAAGAAGGGAGGGAAGATAGATCAGGGTGTCCATGGGAGGTTGGACACTATACAGATATAAAACTATTATGACAGTATACATACATATACATTTTAAAGACATATTATCATAATTGTCAGATGCTTTCCTCTTATTCTGATAGCAAGTGTATTAATATGAAATCCATCTCCTCCCTGGTAGCCTGGGGAACAATATGATATAGGATGGATAAAGGAGGCAACACACACACATACACATAGGCACACACACACACTACAATCTATACATCACACACACCCATTCTGTAGACTTACATAGCGTTTCTTATATACCCACCCTATAGACCTTGGATGGTTTCTTATATATCCACCCTATAGACCTCTAGAGTCTCTAGGTCAATGCTCTCCTCCATTTCTATGTAGCCACTTTCCTGGCACCAAACAATAAAGAGGTATTCCAGTTTCCCCAGAAACCTTAAACTTTGTAATCACCAGGATCTTATTCTTCCACCTGCCTGGCTGGAGCATGACCCTTTCCAAATATACTAACATTCATTCAACAGATTTTCACAGAGCACCTTCAAGGTACACAGCTCTGTGCTGGGAGGGAGAGCAGCTAGAACTCTCAGGGAATGCCCGGGGCAAATAAAAGATCTGAATCTCTTGTCTTAGGAGTTGCTTTTGTATGAAGCAGTGGGAGAGGAACGACTAGAATCAGGACAATCGTCCTGATCCTGCGACTGCCTATCTGTGGGACCCGGGCACATCACTTCCTTAGAGTGTCCATCTCTTCTTACAGAAAAAAACAGATTTTCCACTACAAGTCTCCAAGTCTCCAAGATCTTTGCCAGTCCTCAGCGGTCCACAGGCTAGGAATCTATTACAATGGTCATTCCTGGACAATTTCATTTTTTCTAAAGAGTCACATTCTTTTTTTTCTTTAGATCTGAGCTGAGACACAAAGTGTTGAGTTATAGGAATACTGCAATAGACTGTGTTTTAGGATGAGATGGACTATCGGCTTGCTGCTTTTTCAAATGATCTTTCTTAAAAACCGTGCCTCCAAGGAAAGGCGAGAAATGACACCTGAGGCAGGAAATCCATGAGCTGTGACAACTTCACCATCAAGCGGTGCCCATGGATGAGGGTCTAGGTTGCAACTAGGGGGTTTTTCAGACACACAGTGTCCACCAGACTGCTGACATTTGGTCTGAGTATATAATCCGCTGTGGACCCTACAGGATTATAGTCAATTCTTGACCATTCCAAGCACTCTTTGCTTTATTTTAGCACTTCATGTTTATTCCTTCTTTGGACTATCTATCAAAGCTGGCTAAGGCATGGAAAAACAAAGAAGGCAAAAAGAGTTCAAATTAATGACTTTTGCTGTTTGAGGAAGGCTGAGATGATATCCGGGATACCTTGATATGAATTAACCATGGCCTCTTCTTGCCAAGGATGGTCAAGAATGGACTGTTAGAAGTTGAGAAACAACAAATACGGAAATATTTATGGAGCCAGTAAAACCACATCTGAATCCAACATGCTGTGGTAAGCAGGAAGGATTCGGAGTGGACTCTGAAACAATTATAATGTCACTCTCTGACATTATAAGATTGAGAGTTGGATGCATACTCAGTGCCGAGACCTGAACGAGAAAGATGCACAAACCTGCGTGTCAGGCTGGGAGGAAGAAGAGAGACGAGCTTACCTGGGTCTTTCTGTTCTCCCAGCTTGTCTAGAATGTTGAAGGAGATATCCAGGTACTCTCTCTGGATGGCACTGACAGCGATCTTGCGCTGCTTCCTCTGCCGGGGAACAATCTGGATCTTGAATTCGGATTCCTCCGCTCCCTCCTCTTCTGCCTTCCTCTCGGGATTCTGTTCTGTGTCCGACTCGGCGCTGGCGTCGGGCTTCTCACTTTCCGTTGGGTTCTCGGCATCCTCGGGGACTTTGAGGAGGACAGTTTTTGCCCCTGAACTTGGCACCGGGCCACCAGGCTTCTCCTCCTCGATGCTGGGCTCAGGGCTGTCATCCAGTGACACCTCAGGGAGGGCATAGGACTTCTGGAGGAGGTCTCGTTTTTGCTTAAGCGTGAGCGGGCTGCCACAGGAAAAGTCCTGCGACTCCTCTGGCTTCGAATGTTCTTCGGAGTCTGCGGGGTCTTCCAGAGCGACGCGGGCGGAGTCCGTGGCACCTGTTGACTGGTTATTTCCTGAGTCCTTGGAAGAGAAGTCTTTGGAACAATCCTCCACACTTACTTGCACAAGAGGAGTTGTGCTGAGGCTGAGGACGGAAGGGGGGCTGGGGAGGGCATGGGGGGAGGCAGCGTTTTTACCAGAGGCACCATCATTTCCTTGGTCCATGGTCTCCTCTTCCTCATCACTCTCTACGATGCGGAGAGGGGGGAGAGGCTCGAACACAAGGGAGTCACTGTCAGAGGTGGAGAGCACCGAGCACTTTTCAGGCCCGGATGTAGAGTCGGAGGACAAATCTATTAGATCTAAATCCTCCTTAGGAGCAGGCTTGAGAGGAGAATCCACTTTGACCTCAAACGTCTCCATGCAGTTTAACCTGACTTCAGGTATCACAGGCCTGCGGGTTTCTTGGAAACTTTCCGTTGCTGGGTTCTCGGGGCCCTCGGGGTCGTCGGGCCTTGTAGCTGAATTCTGTCTGGGCCGTCCGTGGTCATGTCTCTGCATGACATAAGCAGCATGGGCGGGAGGCTTATCTAGGTCACACCGGTCTATGCAGGACTTCCTCCGGTGCTCGTCTAATGTAAACAAGAGGGAGTCTGCATTCCCTATATCAAGAGATTTTTGTTTTAAAGAGCGCAGCTTTTTTTTCTGAATGCTTTCTTCTCTCACACAGTGTAGAATGCTGTCTTGTAATGCACCCGTTTCTCTATATTCGGCCAGTTCTATTTCACCTGATTGAAACAGAAAGAGCTAGTACTATTTTACTTGGAGATGCTACCACTTTTTTCCCCCTCATATTTGGGCATACAACTGGCATAAATCATAATCACAATCCCAGCTCCAACAGGAGGGAAAACTGACTCTCTGGCCAAGTTTTTGGAAAGTTCTTTCTAATTTCAAAACCCAGAAAACTCTGGAATGAGAGAACCCGAAATGGCAGTTTAAGATCTGATTTCCAAAATCAGGCTTTGGGATAATTCCTCAGCTCTATTCATTTGTGCACAGGAAATGGGACCACTTTTGGGCTGAGGCAGATCTAGGAAACTGTATTTAAATCGTGTGGAAGAAAAGCAAACATTTTGCAACAAATCAAATCAAGCAATGGCCCTCTCAGACGATCATGACGTCAATGATGTATCTGTCAAGTCACGTATATATATAAGTGTGGATATATATATACTGTTTGTGCACACATATATATAAAATCAACGGTATTAAAATGTGTAGTAACATAATAAAATTAAGATTTCACCCCAAACAAACGGTAGAGTACAACATTTCTGCATAAAATTACTAAGAGGAAAAAATTCATACTTCTCTGAACATTCATCTCAACCGGCTGATATTTCACCATTTTGCTGCCGCCTATCCTTTTCAATCTTGCAAAAAAAGTTTGAGACTCTTTATTGCAGGGTCCAGTAGGTGTATCATGAATATCAGATTCATCAAAAACACTATCTTCTTCTAATTGGGGAGAGAAAGTTCAAAATTACACTTGGGAGGTTACTCTCTCTTAGGCTGTGTCTACACAAGCATTTCAATGAAAGCATGAGGGAACACAGTGTGGGCTGGTTTCTACACCAGCTCAAGATCTGGCCACAGCTTTGGTATTTCATCCCGATGTCAAATTATCCAAATGTTGACAGAGCAACATGTTACAAGGCTGCCTCTCATTTTCCATGTGACAACTGGCAGCATTTTCAAGAGAGGCATCTCAATATTCCAAGAGGGCCTTCATGGGGAAATTTTTTCCAATGCTCTCAAAAATCGGGTAACACACCCACTTTGGGGTCTGTGACACTCCTTGAACATGCCTGCTTTGGGTGAATTTTCAGGCTAATTTGGCAAGAGAAAAATTAAACAAAATCAGTAGCTCTCACCCTTTCCCAAAAATATACATATGCCTTCCTGGGATGTGAGAGCTGGCATAGACACAGCCTAAGAGTACACGCACCTTATACTTTGTGAATGCAAAATACTGTACTCTACATTGGGTAATGAAACACACAACACACAGAAAAAGCTTAGAAAAGCCATTGGTCATTTCAAAAGCTCCACAAATGATTATGGACTGAAAGGGTAAACGAAGGAAAAAGAAAACAGAAAATAACATCCCCCCTTATTAAAGTTAAGACCCTCCTCTGTGGAGTTTGCCATGTGCAACTATTATGCATCCCAGAAAGACTCTCTGACTCTGAGGATCCTGAGGCTCCGTAAACAAACCTGTCACTTAGAATGCCTAGAAAGATTAGTTCTGTGTACTCTTTTATCCCTATTTGGGCCACTTTTAAATCAAAGATAAACCCAAAAACACATTCATGAGGAAAGGGTTGCTATGTTGCAACCCACAGAGGTCACTTAATAAATGCTTTTCTTTCATCCTTTGGAAAGGCCAAAGCCCTGTACAAAGCAGCAAAAAAAAAAAAAAAAAAAGGCTACAAAAATGCACTTCATACCACAGTAAATGGAATTAACCTATAATTCAAGGTGAATATCACTGAAATCATAGTATTTGGCCTATTTTATATCTACCTATTTGACAAAATGAGGCTCAGGTGTGATGACGACTACTTAAGATTTCTTGAGTATTCAGGGAGTACAAGGAGGGAGCCAAACTTTGAGGAATGATCCTGTCCTACAACACAAGACTCTACAACTAAGTGAAATTTGAAGCAGCAGATGACAGATAAAGTGATCCTATTAATCTTTCTTTAGTCAAATAAAAAAAATGAGTGTTAATGATCAAAATGATACAAAACCCCCAGTGAACTTCTGCAAAGATGACAAAGCCTATCAAGTTCCCATGTTCCCAGGGAGATGCAACACAATGATCTGTTTTTTTCTTTATGTCCTCTAAAAAATATAGTCCCTTTTGAAAAACAGTTTCTCAAAGAAAGAGTTAATGTGACTTCCAATTACATGATTTTGAAATAATTCTCAAAATGTCCTGAATGAGAGATGGAAGGACTTCAAGATGGCTCCTCCCATTCAGGAAGGCTCATTTGAGATTGGCCCAAACACTGAGCCTGGATTGAGGACATATATAGTTTAACAGGATCTATCCCATTTTCCAGAAACTGGGACCTAAGCTGGGAGACAAGATACTCTTCAGGAAGGATCTGAATGGTACTAGAACTTACAGTTCCATCTATGGCCAACCCAGATTCTTGGACCTTTTAGAACTAAATGAACATTAGTTCCCATCCATCCTAGTGAGAAATTTCCAGAGCAGTCCTACCAAGTCAGAATCTACTAACACCACAAAGGGTCATGGGGGGCACTTGGCTTTCTCCCAGGATTGGATTAGATGATGTCACCTTTTACAAATCTAGACTTGTGAGATACACTAAAAACATACACCTTGGCTCTTCAGCTCTCACCTGAAAACATCCAGGCTGGGATTTTACTCTATCTAAAATTTCATTCACCTGCCTCCTTTGCAGAAAAACTCTCAATATAAAAAGTGTTGCTACTGTAAATAATTTAAACCTACACAGAGAAAAAAAAGTCATCTTGGTTGCCTTAAATCATTTTCTCATTGAACAAGGAAGCTAGGAAGAAGCACTTCAGCAAATTTAGACTCCATTCAGATCTGTGAGCACAAAGTTCAGGAGCAAACTAGAGACGACAAAATCATGGCTCCAGCGAGTCAAGATTTACTTCATCGCCCAAAGCAAGATGCTTCCAACACATGGGAAAAAGCCTACAGAGGCTCCTTAACCAAACAGCAGACCATTTTTTTTTACAAAACATTTCTTATGAAATGGGCTTCAGAAGCATATCAACTATTTTTCTCAAATGTTCATTTAAAGAACTAAAGTGGCGACATTCATGGGAAAGTTGGAACATTAATGAAGCAGTAGGTGATTTTTTGATTCCAGAATGGTATCCGGGGGCACTCCACTATCTCCTAAGGAAAACACTGTCCAGAAATGTATTACATACTCAAGCTAAGGTCGGGATAGAATTGAGATATGTAAAGTACCTTTTTCTTTTTCGCTGTATCTGCTTATGTTACTGTTGTCACTGTACAAAGGTCCTGCCGTGGCCTGGGGCTTGCAGCTATGATACTGTGCATTGAGTGTATTGACTGTTATGTGAATCAGATGCAGCAGGACCTTGCTGATATCACAGTCCCGATATGGATACTGCTCAATAAAATGGAGGGAGAAAAATATAAACGGTTATTTTAAAGGGTAAGTTTTTCCACGTGATCTTGCTAGATGCTTTTCTCAGTATTTCTGGGAGATAAAGAGACATATACAGAGAAGCAAAACCAGAAATTTTTATCGTGGCATTACTGGGACAAGGGACCCTAGTCCCTTCCTCTTGCACCAAACCACGGATGGCAAGGCGTGCCAGATCACAGTTACAATTCCTTTCAAGAAAATTACCTGGCATAAAAATCTGGCAGATGAATACAATTTTAAATATCTTCCTCGCTTTCTGAGATAATAATTCATACACAGATAAAATAGGAGATGCTGAGCACAAACAGATTGTTGATCTCAATCTCCTACAACTCATCGTTTTTTGTTTTAAACATTTGTAGCATATATGCTGGTATGGTCTCCCTTACTGTTGATATTCCAATGGCTCTTTATTTCTCAACACGAATTGAACATATGATTTGTCCCCTGAAGGTCAAATTACTATCCTACGAAATTCTCAATTTAAATCCCTCAAGTGTTCTCCTCTCTAAGAGAATTATTCTAGCCTAAAAAGGAGTGACCGTCGCAACTCACCTTGTAAAGGATGACAAGCAACGCCTTCAACCACATCTGCCGGATGTGAGGTTTTAGGGACCAGAGGGAGCAACGAGGTGGCTGTTGGAAATAATGCCGTAGTTGAGGACAAGAGCAGTATTTGAGCACCTGAACCACCAAGGGGAGAAGGTGTTTTCCCAAGTTAATGTTATAGTCCATAACCTGAAAGAGGAAAAATATTAATAACTGAAGGAAAACTATAGAGAACACCCAAAAGCCTAAAGGAATATGTGACCCATCAAAACAACAGGCAAAATATTTAAAAGGCATCTCACAAAATGTTAACAGTAATGGCCAGTGACCCTAAAGGGGGAAAGTTAAACCTTACAAGAAATAGAAGAAACTTGCAAATTAAAATCACTTTATCCACTTAATTATCTAATTATTTGATGTATCTGCTAAATTATCTATGGAGAATAATGCCTTATTTATTAAAATGTTCAACTAAACTATTAACTAGAATTAAACTAGAATCGATGAAAACACCTACTATTGGTAATCACTGAGGAAAATGGGCATTCTCAGACGCTACTGGCAAGAGTATTATTCAACACAGCCTTTTGGGAGGGCAATTTAGCAATATCTATTCAGAAGTAAGGAAAAGTACCTAGCCTACAGTACAGCAATTAAATGTATCCTAAGGAAAATATCAGACACCTGTTCCAAGATGTATACATAAAAATATCCGGCCTTACAGTCACCCCAAATTGAAAATAGCCTCCATGTTCAACAATATAAGTTAAATGAAAGATTATTTGTATGACAGTAGGATACTATGTAGCCATTAAATGGGATATGATACAAATTTATTTACAAGATATCGACTTCATAATCAATTTTAGGTTTAAAAAAGGTTACACGTATTTATCAATATGTATAATATGATCCCATTACTACAGAAAATGTGTGCACACACATATACCTATATATATGTATATATGAATGTAATAAATTTGGAGCCAGCAATAACATACAAACACCGAAATGTTAGTCACTTATTTTGTGGGTTTGTGGAGATTTGTATTTAATTTTTAGCTTTATTAAATAAATATGCATAATGTAAATACAGAAAGAGAGAAGTGAGGAAAGAAAGGAGGAAAGGAGGGAAGTTTGGTATCTGAAATGGTACATCCTCTCTTCATCACAAGCAACTGAGTATTAGTGGTGCTCCATCTAGTTACCAGCATCAGCAAAAGACTACTATGTAGGGGTGCCTGGGTGGCTCAGTCGTTAAGCGTCTGCCTTTGGCTCGGGTCATGGTCCCAGGGTCCTGGGATCGAGCCCCGCATCGGGCTCCCCGCTCCGCAGGAGGCCTGCTTCTCCCTCTCCCACTCCCCCTGCTTGTGTTCTCTCTCTCACTGTGTCTCTCGGTCTGTCAAATAAATAAATAAAAATCTTAAAAAAAAAAAGACTACCTCACAACCAGCAACATATTGCTCCTACTTTGCTAATCTGTGTTCATTATATTACAATCTATTTCAGCAAATTGATAACAGTGACCATCACTGAGCTCCTCCCACAAGACAGGCACTGATTAAGCGCTCAGCAATATGTTGTCTCTAATCTTTCAAAACAAAAATCTGTTACCAATAAGCAAAGAAGCAGAGGATACTTAAGGCCACAACAGATAATAACAGTGGCAGAGTTGAAATTCATATCAATTTCTCTGTAGCCCCAAGTTCTACACCCTTTACAGACTGGTGTAGCGCTGGTCAAGTTAGACATACAGAAACCCAATAATCCATTAATTCTGCTCTTGCATATATATCTCAAAGGAATTCTCATAGTGGTAGATAAAGTGCATATGCAGGATGTTCATTGCTGAGCTGTCTGGAGTGGTAAGAAGCTGGGAGCAAGCAATATGAGTGTTCATCACTGGGGCAATGGATAGTTAAAGCATGGTAAATGTACGCCACGGTATAATCTACAGTAGTTGGGAGTAGCAGACAAACATGGAAAAAGCCAATGATGATAATGTGACAGAAAGAAAGTTGTACAATTAACTCAACTCTCCACTTGAAGTCAAAAAGGATAAGAGATTTTTTTAAAAACCCATAAACAAAAATTCTACACTCCCTTATTGTTTAATGGATAGAGTTTCAGTTTAGGATAATGAAAAAGTTCTAGAGATGGAAAATGGTTCCGATTACATAATAATGTGGATATACTTAATGCCGCTGAATTACATACTTAAAAATGGTTAAAATGGGGTGCCTGGGTGGCTCAGATGGTTAAGCATCTGCCTTCGGCTCAGGTCATGATCCCGGGGTCCTGGGATCGAGTCCCACCATCGGGCTCCCTGCTAGGCAGGGAGCCTGCTTCTCCCTCTGCTTCTGCCTCTCTCTCTCTCTCTCTCTCTCATCCCACTCCCCCTGCTTGTGTTCTCTCTCTCACTGTGTCTCTCGGTCTGTCAAATAAATAAATAAAAATCTTAAAAAAAAAAAGACTACCTCACA